ACAGGTACCTATACTGTAGATAGGTCTTAGTCATCAGGTCTACTCCACTTCCTTGTTGCCTGCTTAGACTCTTGGCACTCTTAGGTGAGCAGACTTAGTCAGCCTGTGTTGCCCTAACAGAAGACCAAGTCTCCAAGTGACAACCTCTGCTTCACCACTCCACCTCTACTCTTACCTGCCTTTACTCTTACCACACACACCCAACACCTGCCTTATTCCATATCCACCATTATGGAACAAGCAGAAGAATTCCCTGATCCCATTTCTATTTTTCAAGCACAGGTCCTAGAGCTGACTCAGCAGCTCCAACAGCTTATGACAGCTTCCTGGAGTAATCAGCCTACAGCCCCTGTGTCTAATCTCCAACCCAATAGTAACTATGACACCACTACCTATGTTGAAGAACAGCTGGATCTCGGTCGTCATTTCGGTACTCTGCACAAACATGCCACTATCCCTCTTCCTCGTGAGCCTGGGTTAGAAGAAGTCCACGGTGGGTGGATTCTCACTCCTTACCTAAGGTGGCAATAATGTCTGCTTAGTGGTTTATGCGGATTCGGCAAGGAAGCCAGATCCTACCGCTTTCTCCAAAATCGAGCTTTGGCACACGGACGTGACACATGAGCAGCAGCGTGACCATCAAGCAGAATGACCCCTAACTTCGATACCAGCACTTTCTCTTAGGTCTCTCTAAAGATACGACCAATTGACAAATGTTATCAGCTTACTTGTTCACGATGACGACCCCTTCTTCGATGATACAACCAGATCCAATGATGGTAGGACCAGCATGGCATACAGTGGCATATTTGTTTCTATTCTTGATACTACTGATGAAGTTGAGATCTGCAACCGCTCACGGAGAAGGGAAACGGGTCAAAATAAGGGCAAGATGCATTCTCTAGCTGGACTACTTGGTGCGCTTGTAAATCTTGGAGAGGAAGGCTCGGAACACGTCGCGCTTTAAACCACCAGGTGTCTCAGCAATACCATCAATGAGTCCATTGATCTTCTCGTAGGATTGTTGCTCATATGCTGCATATTTGCCGGGAATATCGACAGCAAGGAAGATTTCCTTGACCTTCGCCTCGCAAATAGAATCCTTGCGGCCATAAGTCTCCTGCATTCTGCTCAGTACACAGCTAAACGATGTCAGTGAAAGTGCTCACGTCCAGGACCCTTCGTTGCTCCGGCGTGCAGGCTGCGAGAGCAACGTTGACATTCCATGAGCACTTGTTGTCGAGAATATCGGTGCCAATTTTACCGATAAATTCTGGAGCGCCATAGCAGTCCAGGTAATCGTCCTGGACCTGGAAGTATTCTCCGAGAGGAATGAGGATATCTTGTGCTTGTTTGAAAGCTGCTTGGTCTTGGATGCCGGCCATATACATAGCGAGAGCCACAGGAAGATAGAACGAATAGTATGCAGTCTTGTAGATCACGATGAGCTGATGCCTATATCATGAGTGAGTTGCACGGGAAGCGGACAGGTGTGAACGGCGCACTTGCGGAGGGAGAAGCGATCGAGATCAATGTGATCCTCGGGCGCGGTGATCAAGTCAATGAGTTGCCCAAGCTCCGTTTGGAATGTCGTCTTCAAAAGTGATTAGAGTACGTGGCTCGCAACAATGATGAACTTGCCTCGTGGAAAAGGTCAAGCAAGTCGACGTAGTAAGAGTCTTTCCGGAAATGGCTCTTGAGCAGGTGATAGATGGCGCCTTCAAGCATGAACGCATCGTTGATAGCAATCATTCCGACGCCTTCCACTCTGTACCAGCAGGGCTGACCCCGGCGTGTGATAGAGGTGTCCATGATGTCGTCAGAGACCAAGAAGAATGCTTGAAGCTTGGACAGGTCACTATTCAGAAATAGGCCACGGACGTGGATACCCACCAGCTCAACACACCACCCAAGCAACGCCGACTTGAAGTACTCCTCTTCACTTAGAGGTTCTCCTCTAAGAATCTCCAAGGTATCGACTACAGACATGCCGCGGTTGAGCTTTCCCCCAGGAGCATTGTATTCGAGATTCTACAAATGGTCAGCCGACGATGGTCCACTGCTCGGGGGATGCTGACCCTCTGGAACCATGAGAGAGCCTCCTGCGGGAATCCCTGAGCAATGACAAATTCGATGAGCTCCTTCTGAAGCTTTGGGAACACGGCAGTAAAGCGAGCCCTGCGATCTTGACCGTTTGTGAGTGCAGCCATTGTCGAGATAAGAAGGGGTTGACCGAAGACACGAGTACAGTCTGTTGGTGGACGTCTGGATATAAGTGATGTTGGTGTTCGGTTGCGGGCGAGAGAGAGAAATATACGAGAAGAAGGTCGAGCGTTTAGAGGAGCTATCGCGACCGTGTCGGTGCCGCAGAGTGTTGGGATTTACAGGAACGGCCGCGTGGAAATATCCGCTGGTTGGGGACTAAGGGTTAGGGTTAGTCAGGGTTCGGACCGAAGCGGTGGAATATGGCAGGGTTTCGGCCCCGATGATGGCATAGCATAAGCCACGGCAAACCGACACCCCGCACCTCCTCACTCAGCCGACCGTTCTCCTCCTCCTCCTTTCCCGCAAACCACCATGTCTATCTTTCGTTCCATATGGACCGCATTTCATGCAGCCGTCGGGCGAATGGAATTCTCATGGGATCCAAAGATCCAGTTTGCGCGATTACGACGTTGGCGACCAACATGGCCGCAGATCGCTTCCTACTCCTTTCAAGCGTCACTCGCAATATTCTGGCTCTACCTCATGACCGCTCCTCCATTTCCATATAAACTGGGAATACCGCTACTATATATCACCGCGATATTTATCCCCGTCACTGCACAATTCTTCATTCCAGCAACGCCCATCTTCTCATACTTACTGTCTTTCTATTCGTCGCGCTTCATCCCCACCGACTATCGCCCCACCATTCACGTCGCCCTCCTCCCGACCCTTGAGACCGTGCTTTACGGTGCAAATATATCCGATCTACTTACTCGATATACCTTCACCGCCCTCGACTTGCTCGCATGGATACCGTACGGTGTGGGCCACTTCACCCTGCCCTTCTTCATCGCCTTCTTCTTGTGGATCTTTGCTCAACGCCCGGCTTTGCGATTCTTTGCCCTTGCCTTTGGTTTCATGAATCTCACTGGTGTTTTGATTCAAGCAATGCTGCCTTGTGCTCCTCCTTGTGCGCCTTTCCCTGTGCATCATGTACACCCAACTGACCATTCGATACAGGGTATGAGCTCATTTATGGTTTGACCCCGGCCGACTACAGTATCCCCGGGCATCCAGGAGGACTCGCTCGCATAGATGCTATCTTCCACTCACAAGGCTATACGAAAGCGTTCGGAGTATCGCCAGTCGTCTTCGGTGCGTTCCCCTCGTTGCACGGCGGCTCAGCAACGATGGAGGCTCTCTTCCTCTCCCACTTCTTCCCAAAGTATCGCGCCATCTTCTGGAGCTACGCTGTTGTCCTCTATTGGGCAACAATGTACCTCACGCACCACTATCTCATCGATGTGGTGGCTGGTGCCTGTCTCTCTGTCATGTTTTTCTATTTCCTCATACCCGACGAGCTTCGGGAACGCACAGACGAAACGCCAAAATACAACTACGAGCGATATGATGTCGAGGCTGCTACACGGAGACGGGAGTTGAGGACGGGGACCTGGACAGAGAACCCAGACGACGACGATGACGACGCGCTCAGTGTGCATTCATTGCCCGAAGATGATCGCACTCCAACCTCTGCCATGCCCTTCTTCCCTCATCGACCGCCCAGGGCACACCGCCAGACGGCTTCAATTGCATCACTGTCTGGCTCGAATCAACCAGCAGATGGAGACATATCCTTAGGCCCAATACGCTAATTGTTATCTGGGTGACGATTAAGGAAATGGACCAATGGGGATGAGCGATAGGGAGTGATTCCAATAATAGAATTGGGTTTCTGCCTTCTCCTGGAACATGCGGGGTACGACAATACAAACCCTTCTTATGCGATATCGGCTGATGAAGTGAGACCACCACTTGACTGGACAGTGCCTCGATGGACCACATGGCAAGGCACTGGAATATATTATTCATCGCTGGCATCGTTCATCCCATGGCAGCCCTATCCCATCTCATGCACTTCCCAATGATCTCACTCTTACTCTCCCTTCTCAACCAATGTTCACAAGAATAACATCATCATTCCGTCGCACCTCACTCCCACTCCCACAACCCACTCAGTCCCAATACGCTCCTCCACCAGCACCAGACGGTACCCTTTCCACCCTCTCACCAGCTCAGCCAGCACTAGAACCTCATCCAGAAACAGACGACCTTCCCATATACATCTCACCCTCAGAACTTGCTCGTTCAGTGCACACATTCGCACTCAAAACGAATGGCGAACCTTGGCTATCCCTCTCTCTCTCCAGTTCAGCTGGTCAGGCAACAAGTCATCCTCTGTTCTTTGACACCGCCGTCTTTCAAGGAAACGTAACCCTAATACTAGGGAAAGAGCTCCAACTGCAGACGATCACTCTCCTCGTACGCCCCTCCTAACCCCAAATACTCATAGCTCTGCTAACCTTAAACATGCAAGCTCGAAGGGTTCACACGCACAGCCGGCTCAGAACAGAAGACCTTCCTCTCACTCTCTACGCTTCTCTTCCCCCCAAGCGAACCAGCACCAGGCGACAGCACCAAGCTCACCCAGGGAACCCATGCCTTCCCGTTCGACTTCGCCCTCCCTCCTACGGTAACAGTACCCTACGAAGGAGGCACAGTCATCGCCCCCCTCCCACCGACGTACAGCACCAAAGGGTGAGCCACGGCTCGTGGGTATGTGTAGAAGGGAGAGGGCGCTGATGAGCCAGCTAGGTTCCCTGCGTTTCTGGAGTATCAGCTTACCGTGGTGGTGCACCGCGGTGCCCTCCGGGTAGACAATACGTGCGCCCCCCTTGCTACTCTCACAGAGCACAGCTGACCCAAACCTAAAGCCTATCAACAACAGTCGTCTACCTCCCCCGCTCTCGTCCTAAACCTCCTTCCCCGGCTCGCCAACTCGCCTACCAGAACCTCACCCAACCCCCAGGGCCGGAAGAGGACCCAGAGGGCTGGGCAGAGGTGGGCACTGAGCTGAGGGGGAGGATGTTTGGCAGTTTGGAGATAGGGGTGAGATGTACGGTGCGTTTTCACCGGCTCTAGCGAGTGGAGCGGCACTGACAGGCCGAGCGTGTTCGCCTGGGTAGATGCACCTCGCCAGACCGCTCTGTTACGCCCGAGGCACTCCCATCCCTTTCCTCATCACGTTCCTCTCCCCCCAGCCCCAAGCCTCTCAGGCACTCGACCTCCTGACCCAGCCCTCAAACCTCAAGCTTACCCTAGAACAAATCGTCACCGTCGGCCCCGATGCTCTTCGCACAAAGAACGCACTCCAATCGCAGGGGAATCCCAGTAATACCTTTGGGAGGATTGTGGCCGTTGCTAGGGGAGGGGTGGTCCTACCTGACCAACCGGGTCCGGGCGCGGGCGCGGGGGAAAGGAGAATTAGGGGAGAGATACCTGTCCCTAGGGAGTTGAAGCCCAGTTTTACGTTCGTGAGGTTTACGCTGAGCGTGAGTCCCTCTTTCCCCTCTTTCCCTCTTCCCCCCCCCCAACCCGGGTGTAGCTGACCTGGTTCCCGGGACGGTAGTACAAGATAAATCTCCTGCTGGACGCAGTTGGTTTCCTCCCGGAAAAACACACACACGCAGTCCTTTCCCAACAAGTGGCGATCACTACCGACCTTCCGCGGGGGCCCAGGCAGCCTCCCCCGGTCCCGAGTTCTGGGGGGAAGAGGTCTTCGGTTGATGGTCCTGGCCCTGGGAATGGGTTAGGGGGACCGGGGGGGACGAGTGGGGATACGGTCAACTTGCTCTTGTTGGGTAACCAAAGGTATATGCAGCATCATCATGCGGGGCCGCAGTGATGCCCGCGTGCATCTGCGGTCGTGGATCTATGGATGATGTACTTGATTGATCTAGTCCGTTAAACAGAGAATTGTCATCTACAGGAAAAGCTACACCGGCAGGTACAGCTCAAGCAGGCGGCGGCCCATTCGCTGGTGTCGGCTGAGGCGTAGGCACTCCCACCAGCGCACACTGACAAATCACCTGCGCTCGCTTAACGACCGTGGCGATCGTATTCTCCCCCTCCTTACCCCGGGCCGCGGCCAGAGTGACCTTCACCAATCCCGGAAATACCGTCGCGCCCACAAGGTCGACCTCACCCCTCTCGCTCTTCATACATCTCCTCGTCAGTTCCAGCTGGCCCGGGTCCAGCGGGTGCCCAAGCTCAGGCACGAACGCGCGATAAAACGCGTCCATTCCTCCTCCGCCCGCTTGGCCAGCATGCAGCATGCGGGAAAAAGAGTAGGCAGCATTGAGGATCTCGTGCAGGTCTTGGAACGCCTTTTCTAACCCGGGGCGGGAGAGGAGCATTCCTAGGGAATGCAGGTTTTCGCTCAGGATCGTTTGTGCTAGCTCGGGCGTGAAGGATTCGACTGCTGCTGAGAAGGTTTGACGGCGCCATACGCAGGCGACTAGTGGGTCTCCTGCGTTTCGTGTTAGCTTGGAAGGGGAAGGGGGAAGCAGGCGCGCACGGGAAAACAGCTGGTCGTGAATCCTCGTAAGATGTATATTCGCCTCGGTAGAGTTAGTAACAATAAGGCAATTGATGATCCCTTCCGCAATCGCTTCGCTCAAAATGTGCCGGAGGAGGTTCTGAACTTGGATCGACGCGGGCGCATTGGCTTCTTTGACTTGGTAGCCGTACAGGTCCGTCAGGATCGCATCCCGGATCTCGTTCAGCGGGACAGGGGGGGCGCGGACGATCTCCGCTGCCCAGCGGTTCATGTGTGCTGCCAGTCTGGACGCGGCTTGCTACCCACCGAGTGCTCAGCTTCGCTCAAGGGGGGGGATGTGGAGGGAGACGTACCCGGATAGACTGATCATCGACGGTTGACGTTCCCCTGTTGTTCACTTTCGGACCTTGGTTCAGCTGCCCGCCTTCGAGCGTGGCGATCCGCTCTCGGAGCGCGGCGACTTGCCGTTCTTGTTCTTCGAGCTGGCGGCGTTGTTTTTCGACTTCATCGTGGGCAATTCGCTGGTGGGAGGTGAGAGGTGTTCATGGGGGAGCAAAAGGAGGTGGAATAGCGGGAAGAAGTACGTACAAAGTTGGTAAGAGCGTAGTTGTATTGATCGAGAGGCACTGTCTGCCCCACACCATTCATATTGTATGCCATGTTCGTTCGGTCGTCAGGAATATTTATTAGTACAATCTTGAGATAGTCAAGGATGCAAGATGGTGAAAGCAGTCAAGCAAGGAACGTCTCCCTTTAAGTATATCGTCAGTAGTCGTTGCAGTACAGTACTAGTGCCAGAGTGGTAAACCCGGATAACAGGCGCCCGTTCATCAAGGCAGGGAAAAGGCGCTGTACGGTGTGTGGCGTACGTTTCAGGCAACGCTGTTCCTGATCCCTGTTATTGTCCATCCGATAATACCCTCGCGAGACTGGATAGCCGCAGAGGGTAGATAAATAGTATTACAATAGTACAGGGATTATCACAAGAGAAGAATAGCGTTCATACATCCTCGGCAGGCACTTCTGGAGCGCTTGTCTCCTGCACTGGCTGTACGTCCACGTCCATAGGCCCCGGATCTGCCCTTGTCTCCTTCGGCACTTCGTCCATTTTTGCCTCTTCAACCGTTTCTTTATCAACCTCTTCTCTAACCTCTTCCGCCCCCTTTCCCTCTTCTTCCTCTTCTTCCTCTTCTTCCTCCTCCTCGTCATCTTCCTCCCCGCTATCATCTTCACTCCCCCCATCCTCACTCTCATATTCCCCATTCTCGGCGTTCGCCTCCCGCTCCGCCTGCTGCCTCGCACTCTCGGCAGTGAGTGCAATAGCCCGCTGCAGCAGCTGCGTATGTTCGGCTGACAAGCCGAAGGAGGAAAGCGCTTGAGCTGGGTCTGAGCCTACGCTTAGACCACCTAGGCTTGCGGTCACATCTGAGATTGCACTAGGCGGAGCGGCGGCGGATGCGAGCTCAGAGGGTGGAACGCCAGAAGTTAAAGGTGGGACGGCAACAATACTCCCAGCTGCAGAAGCAGGCTGCGTAGGAACAGGACGGTCATTCCCAACTTCCGGCGGTTGTTGCGCAGCCAGGATCGAGAATAGCTGGGATACGATCCCATGCGCTTCCTCAGTGACGCTTTGATCTTCTCCGAAGGGTGTTGATTGAACGGGTCGTGTTTCTGGTAGACGAATAGGCACCGGCAGTCCAGGACGACTGATTTCTGGTGGCAGGGACCTCGCCATCTCGACAATCAATGTAGCCCTACAAGGCGGCTCGCTTTTCGGATGGTCTTTGTGTCTCTTGAGGGCATCGCGTCGAGTGTATTCCTTTCCACATCCCTGGCATACGAATATCTTCTTTTCGTGCAAGTTCCAGTGGCGTTTGAGGTCATGATTCCGCACGAACGAAGCCGCACACCGTCGGCAGCGGAACGGCCTATCGAGGGCGTGGACGGCCTCTTGGTGCACGCGCAGTTCAATCAGGTTAGGGAAAGTCGACCCACAATTAGGGTGCACGCAGGGATAACGCGCGGCGCCCGTTCTCGGGGAGAGGGCGATAGGGATGCTGGGTCCGCCCTCGGAGGGAGGGGCGATACCAGAGAGGGAACGGAGCATCCATATGAGCGCGCTGAGCTCGGGGAGGTCGACATCGGATGACTCGGCTCGGTGTGCGCAGGCGTGAGCAAACTGCAGTATTTGTTCGGCTTGCGCACGTGTAGGTGCGGGATGCGCCTTGGATGATTTGGAAGTATGTGGAGTGTTCTCAGTGGCGTTCGAAAGGACTAGGGCATGTGTGATGACAGCAATTGTGGCAAATAGATGGGCTTTGAGCTCCTGCACCTGCTCGGACCTGGCACGTTTTCTTGCTGGCTCGGTTTCCTCCTCTTCGCCGTCTTCCCTCTTCCGCTTCCTTGACTCCTGAGGCAGAAGTCCAAGAGGCATTGCTGATACGGTGTCAGGAGGTGGCTCCCCCGCCGCAATAGTAGCGATCAGCCCGCCAAGCAACTCGGCCTCCTCATCCCTAACGTCCCCTGTGGCGGCCACATGCTGCAAACAGTGGAGGAGGGATTGATACCCGGGCACAGGAGTCTGGGAGAGAATGGCGAGGAGAGGCGGGTCGGAGACCGCGTAAGATAGTACGAGTTGGACTGCCGGTATGAGGGCGTCTTCACTCCCTGAGGGAAGGCTGGTAATGAAATAAGCGCTGGCTCAGCAGGAAATGGAATATATGCGCACTGGGCTGCTCCATTCACTTCTTCTGGTATGGAAGCCGACTGCGGTTGCTGACCAAATGCTGCCCCGATCTGGGCAAGCAGTTGGTCACCAAGGCTCTTAGCGAACGCCTCTGCCTGAGCGTCAACGTCGTCCTCGTCCTCATCGGAATCATCATCATCATCATCCTCTTCCTCCTCTCCATCATCATCTATTTCATCGGATATCTCCTCCTCTTCTGCTTGCTCCTTATCTTCAGTCTCCGTGACTTCTACTGACTTCTCGACCTGTTCCTGTTGTTCGGCTTCTACCTCTTTCAGTGGTGCATCGGGCATGGCCACCTCCTTTTGTTTACCTGTATCTGCAAATATACCCAGAAGATTAATTCCCTAAATTGGATGATTTCTCCTAAAGATAAGGTATGCGACGCACCATTGACCTCTACCGGGTTTGTCACCTCTTCAGGGGTGATTTCCGGTGCATGATGTATTTGATGATCTGATTGGGGCAACCCAGTTGCCAGAGTGGACATGTATGCCAAACGGAGTATGTTTGTAATGGTCTTTCTGTGTATGTATCCAGCGATGCAAATGAGAATGATATAGTAAATGCAAGTGGTGTAAAGTAGAGTGATGGTGTTAACCTGTGTGAGAGTACTAGTACTCGTGCGGTGTGGCAGTGCTTATTATCATAAGTGATATCATTAGGAGAACGCCTAACAAGCTCTCTTGTGTCTTGGGTATATGACAGCCTCACAACACTAATTCACCCGCATCCCTCTCTTCTCTCCTTCCTTCTCTTTCCTCTTCTCTCTTCATCATTTATACTCTCTTTCTCATATCTTTTTACCTCTCATCACTCTCACTAGCATTTTAAACACACAATGGCACCCTCTCAATCTCCTGCAACACGAAAGACGCGCAACATTCCCAGCAACATCATCACAAACCACAACAGTCCCGCAGCAGCAACAACACAACGCAGGAAAGGAATACGCATAGGAAAGGCCCTCAATATTGCTGGACGCGCTGCTCTCGTACCAGCAAAAATTGTCACTGCCGGCGTCTATGGTAGGCGCCCAGCTCTCGCACCTGCACCAGGCGAACAACCAGTCGCTATCCTTAGGGTCCAGGTCGTTGGCTGCAACGAACTGTTCGCAAAAGACGGCGGGGGAAAGCACTCGGATCCGTATGTATCTTTTCCCACCTTCCAGCTCTGTGTCCCCAAATGTAGACGCGTCCAGGTTCGTCATCGTCACCTATGGCAAACAACGCGTCTGGACCCCCACGATCAAGAAGTCCCTCAACCCCGTGTATGACCCCAAGACCGCCACGTTTGATTTCCCTCTATACCTCTCTTTGGCAGATCGCCTCGGGCCACTGGAATTTGTCGTATGGGACAAGGATATCATGATGCGGAAGGAATACCTTGGGGAGGTTGCAGTCAGGGTGGAGGACTGGTTCCCGGAGGAAGAAAAGAACCTGGCTTTCGACGATGAGAAGAATCTGGTGAGTGTATTCTCCTTATCACAACACAACCCTGAGAGTGCCCCACAGTCACGCAGTAGGATTCTTCTGTCAAGTCGTCGAAGAGCCCAGGTATCCGGCACAATATCTTTCAAGCTAGGCCTCGTTCCCGTGGGAGAAAACACGAATCTAGATCAGGTGTATACCCAGGTTCTGCAGAAAGCGACTGAGAACCTCAACATTCTCTCTGCACCTCCGGTATGAACTTATCAGGCATTAATGTACCACGTGTCTCATATTCTCATCCAGACCGAGAGTATCGGTACTTTCCTGCCCCCGGAACAAGACGAGAACGGGAATGAGAACGAACAATATGAGGACGACGGATTGTCCTCGGAAGAGGAGGACGAAGTTGACGAGCTTGAAGAACGGGATTTGTTCGACGAGGGAAGCCTTCCTCCAACACCACGTCGGATGTCAAACACCTTCCTCGCCCCGCCCACTCCGACGTACCCTGTCAAGCCAATTCCCAAACGTGCATCCTCTACTGACAGCAGCATCAGTGCTACCAGTGTTGGCCCCCCTTCGCGTCCCTCGAGCCGGCCTCCAAGCCCCGGTACACTCACTCCAGGTGGAAAACCACGTAAAGCTATCTTCCGACGAAGACGCCCCTCCCGCTCAAGCGACTACAACTTCTCCGCCGAGACAGATATTCTGGGAATCGTGATGCTCGAAATCGCCGGTGCGGACGACCTGCCTAAGATCAAGAACTCGACTGGCCTGGGGTGGGACATGGATCCGTTCACAGTCATCTCCTTTGGAAAGAAGGTGTTTCGCACGCGAGTGATCCGGCACTCCCTTACCCCGCGCTGGGAAGAGAAACTCCTTTTCCACGTGCACGAATACGAGCAGAACTTCCAGATTAACTTCACCGTCCTCGACTGGGATAAGATCACCAGCAACGACCATGTCGGGGACGTCTCATTTCCTCTGGCCGACCTGCTCGGGGACATACCAGAGAAAGACCCGCAGACAGGGCTCTATCCCGCGGAGAGCATCGGTGCGCACGACATGAAGGAGCTCCGCTTGGCCTTGCAGACGCAGAACAACCCATCCTGGGAGGGCAAGTTCACCCCTACGCTGACGGTGAAAGCTAAGTATCAACCGTACGACGCCCTGCGGCAAAGGTTCTGGAGGCAGTACTTGAAGCAGTACGATGCTGATGATACGAACACGTACTCCCGTATCGAGCTCACATCGATGCTTGACTCCCTCGGCTCGACCCTCACAAGGGAAACGATCGATGCCTTGTTCTCCCGGCATAACAAGAATCCGGACACAGATGAGCTCAGCTCGGACGAAGCGGTTATCTCCCTCGAAGAGACTGTGAACCGTCCGGCGGAGGAGAGGCGCAAGGTTTCGCCCTCTACGTCAGTGCCAGCTTTGGGCACTCAGACACCTAGCATCAGCATCGCCACACCGGCAGTGGAATTGGAAGCACTGGACTTCTCCGGGTACGAAGCGTTGCCTGCGAACTACGATTCGTCTATTTCCAAGGCGGTCGAAGCCAGTATTCCTGGGAACGGGGCGAGCACCGTATCCGAGTCGAATCAGCCGCTCGTAGAGACTTTGATCAACAACTCTACGTCGTCCAGCACACTCGGTTCCTCCTCTTCCATGACTGAGAACGGGGATGTCTCTCCTCCTCGTAGCGAGCATACCCTTGAGCGTGTGATCAACATCAAGACTTGCCCACTATGTCACCGACCCCGGCTGAACGCCCGTGCGGAAGTGGACATCGTCACCCACCTCGCTGTGTGTGCGAGCTCGGATTGGGGAAGGGTGGACCGGATGATCGTTGGTAACTTTGTGACGAGCTCGCAGGCACAGAGGAAGTGGCTCGCAAAGGCATTTGCGAGTATTGGAACTGGAGCATACAAGTTGGGCGCAGTGAGTCCTTTCCTAGACTACCTCAATCGGGTACTGATACCCGATATCAGAACTCAGCAAACATTATCGTGCAGAATCGTATCACAGGGCAGCTGGAGGAGGAAAAGATGCAGATATACGTCCGGCTGGGTATCCGAATCATGTACCGCGTCACGCGCAATCAGATGGAGGGGCTGCGTGGTGAGCCTCCATGCGAGTTGCAAAATCATCGTTATCTGACGTACATGCAGCGAAACGTCTGCTCAAGTCCATGTCAATTAAGCAAGGGATGAAGTACGACAGTCCTGCGTCCGCACGAGAGATCCTCCCATTCATCGCCTTCCACAAACTGAACGTGAAAGAGATAGCTGACCCGCTCTCGTCGTTCAAAACATTCAACGAATTCTTCTATCGGAAACTGAAGGATGGCGCAAGGCCGGTGACGGAACCGGAGAACCCTAAACGGCTGGTTAGCTGTGCCGATTGTCGGATGATGGCCTTCGAATCTGTGACGTATGCAACCAAACTCTGGATCAAGGGACGCGGGTTTACCGTCCAGAAGCTGCTTGGAGAAGCATACAAGGACCAAGCAGACAAGTATGAGGGTGGCGCATTGGCAATCTTCCGCCTCGCGCCGCAAGACTATCATCGTTTCCACTCCCCTGTGGACGGGACCATCGGGCCCATGACCTATATCGCTGGCGAGTATTACACCGTCAATCCCCAAGCCATCCGGACTGCGTGCGTACTCCACATGTTTTTTCTTATCGATACTGATTGTCTCCTCCAGACTGGACGTATATGGCGAGAACGCCCGCAAGATTGTCCCGATCGACAGCCCGCAATTCGGTCGTGTCATGGCGGTCTGCATTGGCGCGATGATGGTCGGCAGCATTATCACGACCGTGAAGGAAGGCGAGCAGGTGGTGCGGGGACAGGAATTTGGGTACTTTGCGTTTGGTAAGAGATCCGGTCATTTCCTGCCTCTGGTGCTCATGGCTGTAGGTGGTTCGACTATTGTTCTCCTATTTGAGAAGGGGACACTGGAATGGGACGAGGATCTACTGATCAATGGGCGTGCATCGCTTGAAACCCTGGTACGGATGGGGATGGGCATAGGTCGCAGCATGCGGTAGGGGACATTCCATCGGGCGGACGTTACTTCCTAGTTGTGTATTTGTACAAAGCATGTCCACATAGTCTAGGTATCTTAGTAAAGGTTGATGCCGTCTTCACTCTTTTGGCGCAGGCGGGAAATACTCTGATATCAGCTCTCTGCAACACATATTAAGGAAGTCACATAACAATCCAACCGCAGACTCACTCATAAACATATTTGTCCTTGTCGGAAAATACGACAAACACAATGCGCTCTACCCAGTCTGCATCAGCCTAAAGTATGATCATTGCGGAAGAAACCTTGCAAGACGTACAACATCTCCTTCCGCATGCTCCAGGAATTTTCGGGTCACGTCCAAGGCAATATGTGTCGCATCTAGGAATCGGCACGGATCAGCATGCTTCTTCATCACCGGTACCTCCAAGGGAAGAAACTTTCTATAGGATAGCCGTAAATACCCGTCGAGATGGAGGGGAAGGCCTTTGCGCGCATGAGGCTATGTGATTCTGCCGGCCAGCAACGGAGACGCTCACAATACTCCTTAGCTTGTTCTGGGCCGCGAGCTCGTAGGAAGTACGATAGCAGGACGCCAGCTGCTGAGCCTTTTGGTCAAGCTGTGAATCTGAGTATATCGGGCCCACGGCGTGGATGACGTGTTTGCTAATCAGGGCAAACCCCGAGGATGAGGGCTCAATCGCAATCGGGCGAAGCCAGCAAAGGGAAGAACAACGAACGCGGGGAGGTTGTAACCTTTTGTCATCTTGGCTTCTCCAGTGTTGGCACCACCTAGGGTCAGGCCTTTTTGGAAAGGCATCCGCGAGAGTGGGAGTCAGCGGGAGAGTTTGGTAGTGGTCCGCTCCGCTCCACTGCACGCACATTCATCATATAGGTCTTCACCGGCTGCCCGGTGAATGGCCCCATCGACTGATCGTCGACGTGCGAAGATGAGGAAAGTTTTGTAGGTCACAAGTACATGAGCGACGTACCTCCACCACCACCTGAGTTGTGAAATGGAATATTAGGGATTGGACGACGCTAAGAAGAGAGGTAGCACCAAGGAGAGATCTATGGGCTGCGCTCACGATCACGTCTGATTGGAGTCGCGTGATGTCGCCTTGCCTATCAAGATGTTGGTACAGTATACAATGCAGCAAGACTGGAGCACTCGGACTAGACAGAGATGACATCGAGGGCCCTTGGAAGATGTTTGTACCTAGGGATGGAGACAGCGGCAAGACCCGAAGCATAAGCAGCCCGAAGGGTTGAAAGTGCAAACAAATTGACCATGTTGTTGCTGTGGTCGTCGTCGGACATTGGAGATTGTGGAAAGAGAAGCAAGAACAGACGAGGAGGACAAGAGAAGAGCGAGTTGTGCTGTCGAATGGACCACAAGCAACAGAGGAATGTATGAGAAAGAACTCTAATCCTATTTGGGAATAGATTAGCTTCCGAGTCACGCGATTTGAATCGGCGCTCAATTTGGGCAAAGAGAGAAAGCTTCCGGTAAGGGTGCAAAGGGGAAACGGAAGCGAATGAAGAAGCCGCCGGAAAGGGAGTAATGGAGATTTGCAACAGAGATCGGCCAAGAGAGAAATTCATTCCCCCGTCACCACCATCCCTGCATCAGCGCTTTTTTATCACCAACCACCACCCAACACCCAACACCCTGTACACCGGTGGAGGGGTATAAACAATACGTGGGAAAAACGTAGTTTTAGTCTCCCCTGTCCCTCCGAGGGTAAAAACTAGGAAGGTCTGGTCCACAACAGGGGACTTCTTTGAACGTGGGACCGAGGAAGAAGACCGAGCGTGGCAGAGTGAATTGATTGAATCATGGCTCATCTTGACGAAGCCACGAAGCCACGAAGCACACATAAGTATATCCTCGCCCGCCACATTCAAGCTTCCCGCTCGAGCGCTGTGCTTGCGTGAACACGGGCATTCACATTTGACGACGACAGAAAAAAATCTCTCAGCGCTCTCGTTCTTCTTACCCCCTCCCCAAAGCGCCCCTTTTCGGTCACTATCGACCGTCCCTCTATCAGCGCAACCTTGTTGGAGAGGAAGGTGTTAACCCTGTGTGCTGTACAGAACGATACGGTGAGATCAGCCCATTAGGGTAGACCCACGAAGCCACCAGGGGGTGGGTAGATTAAGCGGAGATTCCTCACGGGCTATTATTGTTGATTCGCGAGGTACATATACCAGAGCGACTTGTCACGGGGCTAACAGCGGATTATCCACCATTCACTCCCATCAAATAATCCGCTTGTTAACAACCTTAACGCCCCGATCTATCGGGTGAAAAGGTGGGAAAATACGGAAAGAGAAGGGATAGGGGGTCGATTTGGGTTGCAGAGCCACCCTGTGCAGCACACGTCAAATCGGGAACGGAACCTTCGCTGCTCTCCCTGCCAAAAGACATATGCCCACCGTCGTCCTCCCTTCTTCTCTTTCCATCCACCACCATCATCATCACAACGACAGGCCTCATTGCTTCACAAACATCCTCATCAACGTCGACAACGACGACGCCCATGCGGACGTATCAAACGCAATGCCAGCCACAGATGCTCGTTACTCTCTTCCAGCACTCCAGTCCCTCGACCTCCCACAGCCAGTTCCTGGTCAGGCTGCATCCCACATCTCCCCCGTAGGCACGCAGCAACCACGGCCTCCAACTTCCTCTCAACCCCTCCCATCCGCTCATCAGATCAACTCTGGTCTTCCACCCTCCTATCGCAACGGCAGCGACTTCAACAGATTGCCTTCTCTTGCAGGCGTCGCGGCCTCCCTACCACATACCCAGTCTGCGGCACCCATCTCGGAGCAGCAACGGGAACCAGCTTATCCCCCTCAGTCGAGCTATGACCCCTCCCGGATTCTACCTCCCCCCGTTCCTCGTGTTCAGGGCGTGTTGACCAATTACGGACAGCAGCAACAGTCGACCACGGCCCTTCCTCCTCTTTCCGCTAATTCCGTTTCCCGGGATGGGCCAAAGTTTGAAGACGTTTCTCGACCAAATCCGTATTCTATTCCTATCGCCTTGCTGCGTTCACAGCAGTCATATAAAACAACGCCATCCGCGAACCTCAATGGCGACGCGTATCCGTTGGAGATGACGCCCTACTCCACGACCACCCTTGTCCACGGCCGAACTCTCTCTCAGTCGTCCTCATTCGCACCCTCCCAGCGGCCAGCCCCAGCCCCCTCACCGGAGGGAGGCCCTTTTTACTCCCCGATGGGTAGCGTCCCGGTCACAAAGAACGAGGCGTGGGCTGGAGAGGATCAGTACCCTTATCTGAACAGTACCGTGAACGGGGTCGATGTGGATCCCAGCGAGATGGATGCTGCTGCAATTATGCAAATTGTACGTGCCATGATCAGACAACATGCTCAGACTGCTCACGGGATTCCAGGTGGTGAACCATTGCAACGCGATCGTGCAGTTTTCCACACAGTATGGTTCGTTCTAATTATTTCCTTATATGGTTGTGTGCTGAACGTGCCGTAAGGCTCGCACCCTCGAGGAATTCTCCAGACTCCATCCCCATCTCCCAATGCCACATTCCCGCAAGGCATCCCTGAGGACAAGCTGTCTGACATGGTCCATCGTGCCATCGCCGTTGTCCGTCTTCTTCGGAATTTGAGTCGTCGACAGGCAGAGCAAGCCAAAACGTCCACCAAGGGCCTGTTGGACGGCATGGACTTGGACACCTCGACCCCCGTTGATGGTGATAATGACGGTCTACCAATTCGACCCCTAAAGCGTTTCAAGCCTCCGTCTATCAAGGATTCAGACGAAGTGCCCAAGCCGAAGTATAAAAAGCGCAGCGTACGTCCCGTCCAAGTTATCCGGTACATATCCTAACTTCGTACCAGCGTGCCCCGCCACCCTCACAATGTGCCTCCTGTGGCATTGGCGAAACGCCCGAGTGGAGGAAAGGGCCAGAGGGAGCGCGTACCCTGTGCAACGCTTGTGGACTGCGTACGTGTATGCGCCAGTCTGTCTTTGCCTTCTAACGCTCTATCACAGATTATGCCAAGCTGAGTCGGAACAGGGATCGTGAATTAGATGCGGCGGGTAAACCTATTCGCCCCCCAGTCAATATCGAAATGTTGCGCAATTCCATCCGCGCGACTTGTCAACCTACGCGAACACACGCGAACACAGAACCACCCGAATCATCATCTGCTCCCAAGGTGGAGCCTGTTCCTCACAGGAACGCTTCCGGATCAACAATGCCAATGGTGTGGGAGGCACCTGTGGCTGCCCGGCCTGCCAACCCTTATGCCGCTAGCGCCACGGAGCAGGCCAACGTCGGGCAAATGCAAACTTCGAACTACTCTTCTTCCGCTGCTACCGCACAACAGTCACCCGCGGACTCATTGAATAGTTCAGGATATGGTGCACCTGTTACCCAGTCCCCTGTGTCGGCATTGCATACGCCATCTTATCCTACCCCTTCGTCCCACCTCCCAACTTCGACATACACAACGCCCATGACGCAAACAACGGATCCCCTTTATCAGCTCGCTCATGTCGCTGGTAACGCGTGGAATGCGCAACCTCAGTCTGTGCTTCCGCAAGGATCAGTCTCCCAAGCGCAAAGCACAAGCGCATCGACGGACAATCAGTATTGGCAGCCGCAGCCCTCGACTTCCCTTCTCGCCAATCAAATGTCCAATGTCAGAGCGGACCTCCCTGAAGGCCATATCAACGGTTGGTCATCCATGCGCATGCAAGCAGGAGGGCCTATGTCATATTCCCAAACTTCGGCTGCCACCAACCACCAGCTACAGGAGAACGCCAGGGTATACGGCTGACATCTCCGGTCCAGCTTTAATGTGTATTGTTGCAAGTCTGCCGGATTGGACTCGAATCTGCTCTTATCTCTTACTCCTGTGCGCGCCTCCCGGTAGCGCTATAATCTTTCTTCATGTTCCTTCTTCCTCTTATCTTCTTCCTGAAGCACCTTTCGTCCTCGAAATGTGTTGTAGCAATGTTCATGGGTCATTGCCGATACCTGCTTGATTGTTTCGACGGGTTTGATACCATGTGTACTACCATAGTACTCTATACATATCTAGTCATTGTAGACCTTCTGCTTTATAACGCCACCTGCAACCGGCACAACTGGTGTCGGAACTTCGATGCCTTGCAGCTTCCATATCTCTACCTGGCGATCTTTCGCCTTCTTGCCATCCTGTTCATACTCTGCGACGGAAATCGGTCGCTCGCCGTGGGGAGTGACACGCAAAGCATGTCGCCGCTCTGGATAGAAGTCGAAGGTCGCAGAGTGAGTGCAAACCTGGCATACTGAGTAAGAATCACAATTCCAGGCCAAAGCGATGCCTTACCCGATTGTCCCAGAGCACAATGTCATTGCTCTCCCAGCTGATGCGAACTTGCTGCCAAGTACGTTAGCTCCGATCGACTGAAGCAGAAATGACTCTTACGAAATCCGGGTTTTCCGCAATCTGATGGAACAAGAAACTGAGGATGGAATCCGATTCGGCTTTCGGAGCGTTCAGGATACGACGAGTAAATCCAGGATTGACGAAGACGCTCTTCCACCCAGTGACGGGGTGTACACGTACGACCGGGTGGATCGCTTCCAGTTCTGTTCAGACCTGCACAAGCATGGCTGACTTAGGGCACTCACTTTCGATCTCTTTCCTCCTCACGTGCGTGCCAGCGGCACGAGATCCTTGTGCTTGAAGAACGGCGCTGTGCACCGCATACTGCTTGTCCAGATAGGCTTGCATGTCGGGCGACAGCGATGAGTATAAAGCGTATCTTGGTAGCCTAGTCAAGCAAACGACACAGGGAGCATTGGCATGACGTACCCGGAGCTCCACAGTGTGTCCCCACCACAGGCGGGGGAGGTAATCACTTTCAGAGACGTAAGGGAAGGAGCTGATAACAAAGGTCGGGTCATACTACTTGATAGGTACTCGCGAGTGACTCACGCTGCTGCTCATATGTCACGTCCGAGTGCCAGAGCTCAATCTTGGAGAACGCGGTGGGATCGGGCTTCCTGGCCGAATCCGCATAAACCACTAGGCGGGCATTATTGCCATGTTAGGCAACGAGTGAGAATCCACCCACCATGGACTTCTTCTAATCCAGGTTCACGAGGAACAGGGGTGGTGGCATGCTTGTGAAGAGTACCATAATGACGGCCGAGATCCAGCTGTTCTTCAATCGTGATCGGCTGATTTCGGAAGACTAAGAGATGCTTCAGAGATCATTGGCGTGAGGTGTCTGGTATATGACTCACCAACAACAGTCCTCTCAGCAGCTAGAAGTGCACTGACAGCAGTCTGTTAAGATAATGTTATATCAATGAAGAGTCAGAGCCGCACAGTTCATCTTTCTGAGCGTCGGTGAGATAGCGAAGGTCGATACCATGGAGTTCAACACCGAGGGCTGGAGTTAGGTGCTTAACTTTGGTCGCAGCCGACAGAAGGGATCTTTTCTCAGGATCGGCGAAAAGACCACGGTCCTGTACGTTGATCGGTCCAAGAGGTTGCCAATCTACTTCAGGGAAGTATGGCTAGATTGGGTATATACTTAGCATGACCATCTGTGTTCGAGGGGTCATATTTGCCTTGTATTTCGCGTATTGATAGGTCTGATCATCCCCCGTATCATCTGTTGGTGCGTAGTAGCTGTAAAACGGGTTGAACGGGGCAGCAGCATCCTGATCCTTGCCAGCAGGTTTGCTAGTCTTCAAAACCGAAGCGACCTCAGGAGTGTGGACAGTGGAGGAAGCAACTGGTGGCATAGTAATCGTTCTGGTGCACTACCCCTGGTGAGATATTTGAGAGTCGCAATGTACACAATCATCCTTATAACCTCAGGATGGAGATCCCAACCCGCGGAGCGCAATAAGAGCGACCAAAGGCGCAATCGGGGTACGAAGCATACCATCGCATGACCGATTGCCACTTCAGGGGAGGAGGTTACATGCGAAATGACCAACGATGGCGTGATGAGGGTATGATTGCTGACACACCCGAAGCACCACACAGTCCGCAATCAGTGGCTGTCAGACGCGGAATTGTCGAATAATCCAGATGCTTTTGAACATGAAGCTGTTTGTGGTCTGGTTTAAGGCGACTTGCGATGGCGTCCAAGTACTAGTCGACCCGTCGAACACAGTTCTATTTCGGACACCATCATACTTTGATCCCGCGGTCCCGGTCCTGCGGACGGCAACTCTCCTCAATCACCACGGACAATCCTCGTCAGGCGCGGTTTGACTTGTACTCGGCTCCCGTAGCGTAGCCTACTCCATTTTCTGCGGGGCTAAGGCACGAGCGGAAGGGAAACGTGCCCAGAGTGCCGCAATGAACACCTCCCGTGCGGTTGGCTCGTCGTGTCTTATCCCACTGAGCACGGCATATCGATCCTCCTCATCTTCCTCAGGATGCAATTCCACATATTTCGCCGCGCCCGACAAATGAGCAACTATTGCACGAGATCGGTGGATTGCCAGAAGTTGTGGAGAAGGAGCGGGAAAATCCGGGTTATCGGATTTTAGATCGAGGAAGGAGTTGCCGTTTTCGATGAAGGGTTCCCAGACTTTGAGCACGTAGAGGTCAGGCGTCGTCTGCGCATGGATCAGTTCACGTAGCAATGCCTTGTCATAGATATCCGAAGCCTCACGGTTGACTCTAGATAGCATTTAAGACTGTCAAAACGCGCGTGCCAAATCGGATTGAGCGTCAAAACGTTTTCCAGGCGATGAGTCTCTGGGCCGCTGAGGTCCATGGGAAACTGCACATCACCAAACATTCGAGCCAGACAAGTAGAGGACCGGTCACGCTGGATTATTGTCAGCATCACGTTGTCCAGAACTTAGAACACACCTCATCGTCTTGCTCCCACCTTGATAACAAGCCCTGCGGAATGATATGGCAAAGTTCGGTGGGCGCGGTGGTTGCGGTGGGCCCAACAGGGAGCGGGGTTTCGACAAGGCCTGCTAGAGCAGAGGTGTCATCGATCAACCCCGAAAACATACAACGATAGCGATCGCGGGCCAGTGCCTGGAAAGGCTCAGATGCTACAGACTTTTGGGAGGTCGCGCGCACGGACCTTTGCTTTACTTGTCCTTTGATCCATTGGTCCAGGATCGATTACCATCGCATAGAATGCGGCTTGGTCCTCGAAGGACGGTCTGGAAGGGTGTCGAGACGGGGTTGGTGTTCCCGCTCGCTTGACTGCAAGGGAAGGCATGGTCATCAGCACAGCACAGAGCGCACGGAGTGTCGGACGGACAGACATGAATCAGGCAATCACGGCAAATGTTGCCCAGTATTAAGACATCATCCTGATCTCTGCACTCGTTGATATCCTGAGCAAGGCGCTCAACGGGCTCCCCAGGTACCGGTGGATGAGTGAGAAACCATCCGAAGACGCGCGCAGAGATCGTGTCCTTCTCTTTGCTCTTGTCAGATGCTGATGCGATCTCTAGAGTGACACATCTGTCATATGCCTTTCTCCTGGTGTCAGAAAATCCCTCTGGAGCGGGAGGGAGAGGGAGGGGTCCTGCTGGGAAATCCATCTCCACAAGGTGTTAAGGTGATTTAGTAGGCAAGCTGAGAGGGTTATGGAATTTGCGGGGGGGGGGAGTTGCGTCCGTGGCCCGGGGCCGCGACAAGCGCATGAGGTGGTGATTGTCGCGGCTCCTTCTGTGCTCGATATTGGCTGTAGCTTTGCCAATGATCCCAGGAAAGCCGTTGTAGATAGCTACCGCATGGAGAACATCCTCCTCTCTGATCTTCGACCAGAAGCGCGCGTGCAAGCCCCAGTGCTGGCTTTCAACCTGACCCCGAAGTTGGGCAGTACTGGAGTCTTCGGTTCAACCTTTTTCGGGACAGGGAAAAGTCTGAGGCTGATTTTGATCCTGCCTTTCTTGCACCCGAAGAAGTGGCCAAGAGTTATCCGCGGCCGGCGCTGGATGCCGTGAAGACGTTCACAGAGTTACAGTGCGTAATCTGTGTCATCTAAGCCTCAGCTTTCTTCATCTATTCAGTCAGGAACAGCATGCACAACTAGCACATAATATTTCAACGCTGCTAGTGAAACAACCTAACTCCATCGTCCCCACCCGTGTGAGTTTGTCAGTCGTCGGAGCCGATCTCCGATTTGGCCATAGTCCTGAGTCAAAGGGAAATTGGGAGGTGAAGGCGGAGATGCGGGCCTTTCCAGGCGTTCCTCTAGTGATCCCAGGGGTGACCGAGAGCTGATAGTCTATGGTTAAATAGAATTGTGAAAGTATTATGTAGATAGGTGGCCATTGAACGAGAAGTGGTCAACACCATCATGCCATGGCCGAGCATGTCCGACGTGTTTCCTTTTGTAGTCTCCGGGCTGGTTTCGGCGATTCTGCGCAATGATGGCGCGACGCGTATATATAGCATCACGAACAGGACTACGACCATCCCCAACTCTGGTAAGTATGTCCATCACTTCTATCTCGGCTCAGAATGGGAGTAAGGCAGAGAGGGGCGACTCTACTGGGCTTCACTTCTATCAAGGTGCGTTATTCTATCCGTGTTTCATGACCATCAACCGACAGAGCTCAGCATTCCCCTTGAACAAGGATATTCTCAATCTCACCGACACCGAGCTTGCTTTCTTCAAGCATACCACTGGGATCCAGAATGAGACTGAATTGAAGGAACATATTTGTCATGTGCAGGAGGAGGCATACAAGGTTTTCCCGTGTGAGCATCACTTTCCAACCACATCGCGTAGAGCCTGACTTGCTCAAAGATCCATGCATCCGGAACTTCAATTTCACCAAGTGCGCCGCAGTTCTGTTCATCTCTTAGAGTGACCACTCATCGTATAACAGGCTCAAAATTTCTCGGTGTGCCCTCTCTTGAGCAGCGTGCGGCCATGCTCATCTACAACTTAGGTTGCCCCCTTATCCCCAGATGATGGAATTGGTTAGAAACCGACCTGATGCCATCTACCTTGATATTGGCTGCTGTTTCGGCAATGATGCGAGAAAGGCTGTAGTCGATGGTTACCCTATGCAGAACATCATTTGTTCTGACCTCCGACCCCAAGTAAGTGCATTCACTACCAACTTATCGTGCTGAGGCAGTCTCCTGTTAGTACTGGGATCTAGGCTTCGAGTTGTTCCGCGATAAGGATACCTTTCATGTTCCTTTCATCGCTGGCGATGCATTCGATCCTGATTTCCTCTCACCGACCCTCGTGGAGAAGAGCGGTCCCGACCCTGCTCTGAAAGAGGTCAAGACACTCACGGAATTACAAGGAAACATCTCTGTCATTCACGCCTCGTCTTTCTTCCATCTGTTTGATGAAGAGCACCAAGAGAGGCTTGCCTATCTTACCGCCAGTCTTCTCCTGAAGAAGCCAGGAACGATGATATTTGGATCCCATGGTGGCTTGACTGTGCCAGGAATACGTAATGAACGTGGCGCTTACGGTCATAGTCCAGAGTCGTGGACCCAGCTATGGGAGACCGTCTTGGGTAAGGGAAACTGCGAAGTGAAGGCAGAACTTCGTGCCTGGAAGACGGATACCGAGCCGGACCGCGCTCACGAGGTTTTGACGTGGTGTGTCACACTCAGTTAGCACGTTCGAGTACGTCGCCCTTCCCTTGTGAAACTAGAATAAAGTTGAATGAAGCTTGATATTGGTTGCATTACTACCCGTGAACTTCGTTAGATGGGAAGGGACAGCCTGTTTTTTAACGCATCATCTTTCAAAATGCGCGCCTTGTACAGCGCTGCGACCTGGTCCAGATCCCAATAGGCGGATACGTATCGACCTGTAACATGATCAGTGGTTTTCCACAGTTCCTGATAAAAGGCTGACCGGAGAGATAGTTGTCAGAACCCGACTTGTACAGTGAATCAGTCCGGAATCCAATTCAGGATACTGGTCCACTTACCGCTAACCGAACCATTGTCCAAGCGGGCAGCTTCACGTCGTCAATCAGGAGATCAGCTATCATCGGTCCACCATCATTGATGGACATGTCAGTTTTCACAGAGCCGGGATGCACGGCAAACACTTTAACCCCATCCTTTTCGTTTTCTATCGTAGCATGAGCCGACAAATCCATCAGCCAGGGAATGATAGGTACCGAGAGCAATGAATTCTGTGAGGCGGTTGATGGCATGCTTTGAAGTGCCATAGGCAGAAGTTCCCGCGCGGCGCTCTGGAATGAGATCAGTTACAGTCGAGAGAAGCAAAATGTGCTAACTTTGGGCCGCTCGGCTGGTTGTTATTAACAAGCATCCTGCCCTTTCTTTGAGGTAGGGCACAGTGTAGCTGTTGTGAGGATAAGTGGCAGTTTGTATGTGGATGACGTTCACAAACTGGGCAGTATTGAAGGTTCCCCGGACATTCACCTCCTGGATGAAGATTAGGCGACGCAGGTAATAATTGCAAGACACTTACCCATATCCGCCACCACTCGTTAGGATCAATATCAATGAGAGCTAGATCCCTGGACTCAGACACGAGCCAGCAGCCAGATAAGATCGTAACGCGTACAAGTGCCAAGTTTTTCTGATGCGCCGGCATTGGCGATAGCAATATCCATCTTCCCGAATTGTGCGATACATGAAAGAACAGCTGTGTGAACTTCCTCTGGCACGGTGACATCGGCCGGCTGGATCCCCACTGCTGTCGCAGGCGAGACCGCTAAGATGCTGGCTTTGACTGACTCGAGAGTACTTAGTTTGCGCGAGACTAAGAATATGCTAGCCCCAGCCTCAGCAAAGGCGATCGCTGTGGCTTCGCCGATCCCACGAGATGCTCCAGTAATGAAGACGACCTATCAAGTCGGTTATCATTCCCGTCGCATCAAAATCTCCGACAAATAGTAGTAACCTTGCCGAAAGCAGAACCTCTGAATTTGTTCGGGTCTATTCCCGCGTAGAGATCATGGTGGAAGAGGACCGGAAGATCTTCATCGAACGCCGTCAAGGTGTACGGTGCGGTCATGGTGTCCAAGGTGGATGCACTCCAGGTGTAGATATTGAGCCGCACGTCGGAGGGCCGTAATTAGAGCCCGTGGCCAGCGTGCATTCAATATGGCCATCATTAGCGTGGAACCAAGACAGCGAGGCGCCTAAACGCAAGTCCCTAGGAGACCGGAGAAAAGTAAAAGGAGAAAACGAGGGATATGCGTAACCCCAACCCGTGACTAGCAAGCGCTTGGATTGACGCGCTTTCGAAAACACTGGACGCGTCGATCGTTTATTGCGTCGCGCCTCGATTTACCAACGTCAAGCAAGGATGGCAATGGCCTGGTTAATGAAGGCCGAGCCGGAAAGGTAAGAGACTCTGCAATTCAAGTTGGGGCGCTTAGTAAGTCCTTCGTACAACAGCCGGGTGGTGAAAGGCAAAGACGTAAAGGTAGAGAGTTTGTCCCATTGGAAGTGATGACCAGGGTTAACGTTCCTTCAGTTCTCCGTAGACGATTTTGAAGAAATAAAGTGGGCATATTCATCCCGATTTGAGGCGTGATGGTAATCAGCCAGTAAGAGTGTCACCTTGGGATGGTGTTCGCAATCCAGAAGCAAGCAGGTTCATGCGAGAACGCATGAAATTGGGCGACAAGGTACAATCTTTTCATCGCGATCGGAACACAGATCTTACCTCGTACGTATTAACATGAATAGGTTCTCTTCTATCATTCTAATACCAAGATTCCCGGTAGGCAAGGCGCGCAATCATCAAGTGCTGGGCTGATATGGTGCTACAGGAATCGCAGGCTTTGCCGAGGTAACTGTTTATTGGCATCAATATCTCTCTTATTTACAATAATGGATTGAAAGATATGCAAGGAGGGATATCCCGATTGTAAGCTTCATGTATTTTATTACTTAACAACTAACAGCTTGCACAGATACTGCATGGGATCCGTGAGTTTGTCATCACCCAGTCAAGAAATACCATATCTTACCTCCGATCGCGAGATCGCACCCGTACTTTGACGAGGCAAGCTATTACCACAATGCTGGGTACACAGAGATAACTCGTTTATAGAAGACGGACAAGGAAAAACCTAAATGGTACATGGTGGGTTCCTCTGTTCCCCTTTTGGCACGATATCGATGTTGGCAGGTCGATGTTCGGTTCATCTCTAGAGCCAAGCATATGGTTTCTCTGCCGCTCCTGAAGCATCTTGCCACACTGTCGGAACCGCCAGCAGACTTGCCATATCTGACCTCAGAACACCTGAAGGCGATCAAGAATATGGCATTGTTGACACGTGGCCGGCTCAGCGTGCAGCCTGTAGATAATCCGCTGGTGGTTGAAGCGATTCAACTTCTTGCCGACAAGGGTGGATGGGATGAAGATATCGATGGAAAGAAGAAGACCAGCGGTAAGAAACGAGCTGGTGAGGAACAGGGTGAGGCACCGGAGACGGATAAGACGACGGAGGGAGCCGATGGCAAGGGTAGTGAAGCTGAGTTACGGGAACCGTCCGCAAAGAAGAAACGGAAATCGGGTGGGAGTGATACGCCGACTCGGTCAGAGGGTACTCGTCGGTCCTCTCGATTGAAGAAGTAGGAACGAAATAGGGGGTTTGCCAGTGGTTGGCTACATAGATGTACACAGAATGTTGTCAATGGGGTTACTTTATTGAGAGATGATGTGGATATGTCGGTGAGATGTACTAATAAGCTTATGTGCAATGGATATGACCTTAATAGTTGGCTGATCGGGGTCGAGACCACGGTTGCCCAGATTTGGCTTGTGGGTCTCGGCGGTTGGCGCGTCATAGAGTTACCCCAAGGCATCTGGTCACGAGGGAAAAAGAGACGACCCATACCTTTTTTCTGACTGTCTCGCACCCCCAACAAGGCAATAAGCCCGCTAGACCTAAACAAGTAACCACAAATATGTCCTGATTCGGTCATTCTTCGGTGGCGGCCGATCACCACTTACCTCCAAGAGGTCAAATACCTCGCTCAAAATCAAAATCCATTCTCCCCACTCCTCTTCTCCCTCCCCCCACATCCCCAATCCCAATCATGCATCGCGCAATCTCCCAAGCTGCTCGTCGCCCTCTCGCAGCGGCAAGCCTGCGCACTTTTACCTCATCCACCACCCCATGGGCACCCAGCCCCACCTCCCCTCTCCAGGAACCTATCGCCTCCTTCCACAACATATATGCAAAGGACGATCACACCTACGAGCCAGTACCCGCGGGTACCACCCATTACGTCGTCTCCCAGCCAGAGCACAAGAACACACCTTACGACGTGCCAGCTGGAGCGTTCCCCACATCGTCCCCATACGACCTATATGCGTCTACTCAAAAGCCCCAGTTCAGTGGACAGCCTTCATCTACTTCCAGCACTGCAGCTCATCCTAACACCACCAATCGTGTGCCAAGGGTCGAAGATACATACCCTTACGGGTCAAGTAGTGCTGTCAGGCACAATGACGCGCCGGGTGAGATGGCAAAGGGATCTGGCAAGGGTGTTCATCTGTCAGAGGGTGTCAGGGTCACGCCTGGTACGGGTGGAGAACTCGCGAGCAGGAACGGTTGGCCGAGCGAGGAGCAAGGCAAGGCAGGCCTGGACGAGGCTGGGAAGATGCGCAAATGATAGTCATATTGGCAGTGTAGTTTCTCAGACGATAGTCGCGTGTATGCGCAGCAGTTCTAATACAACGGCAGATCCGTTGCCTCGGTGTATAATGTTACGTGTTTTAGCTCGCTCCTTGTTATGGCGATAGATGAGGCGTGGCAGATTTGCCAAAGACGACAACCTTCACCAAGATGGTAGCAGACAAGCAGAGAAAGAGAATCATCGGAGCGAGAGTTCGGGCGGCTAAACAAAGTAAGATGAGATTATACCGAAAGCAGGAGATCATCGCACCACTCCTCTCGTCTCAAATGCAAGCCAGTCACCCGTACCCGTGGGGATCAAACCCATTTGTCGACATTTCCACAATGCGAGAGCGATGGGGAGCAGGTTGGCCAGCATATACACGATCTTTTGTAGCAGGAGTGGGTCACCGCTTGATGTCGAGGCCGTCGGTTTATATTGGGCGAACGCTGAATCATATCAGAACAGGATGTTTGTATACCACAACATATATACATACCCTTCTCCATACCGCTGATCGCTTTAAACGGGCTGAAGAGTAGCATGACCAGTGTGCTGATGCTGAACACCTGCACACCCGTACCACTCATATAGAGCATAAACGCGTTCATGGGGAGTGATTTAGCCGGAGAAATGGCCAGGTCCCAAGCCCTTTTCGATTTGAGTTCGTCATACTTGGTTGGATCGACCGTACGCTTCTAGCATGACAATGAGCTTGTGCCACGTCGGAGAGGATGGGGACGTACTTTGACTGCACCTCCTGATATTGACACAAACCCTGGAGGATTCGGTACATTTCCCCATCTACCGGCTCACAATTAGTCAATTCTATTCGTTAGATGTAATATGATATAATTACTTTGATGATATTTGTGTATAATCTAGGAATGTCGGTGTGGTAGGCATTATTGTTGTAGCGTGTGATGCAGCGGAAGTAATTCCGAACGCGTTGTTTATCGAGGGACGCGGGCGCGTGTCATCCCACTTTGGCCCTTTCCTTCCCCGTCGCGTCCCTCACCCCCCTTCGCCCTCCTCCCCCTCATCCTACTCCACACACTCGTCATGCCTCCTCGTCGTCCGCAACAGCGGCAGGAGCCTCATAGATCATCTTCAACATCCCCATCACCCATTCCTGCAAAGCGGAAAGCGACAGACGAACTCGATGGTGGTGATATTCTCAAGAAGAAGCCAAAGCAGGCAAAGTCAAAGGGGAAGAGTACGTACATGCACTCATCCTCTTTTCATCTCAACTCATACGCATACAGTGAACGGAGAGCAAGTCGCCGGAGGGCTCTTCATCGTTCGAGGCGCACCCCAGCCTGCCGCTCCTTCGGCTCCTGCTCCCGCTGCCGTCCCTCCACCACCCCAACGTAGACCCGCTCGACGAAGCTCTCCTGCCCCAAAGGAAACGAAGACCGCACCACAGAAACCGTCATCCCAAAGCATGCGTATGGGTTCAACCTCAGCTGCGAACAAGGGGGGGAAAGGCAGGGTCAATGGGAAGCGGGGTCTTGATGAGGGTGAGACGACGGCAGACGTGCATGCGATGGAAAAGGAGTTGAGGGACCTGACAAGGGCAGGACGGATCGCGTCAGAACGTGCTGGTGTATGTCCCTACTACTAACAGATGGTTGATGCACACACTGACTTCTCTACAGCCCGCTTCACCCGATACCGACATCACCTTCCCTCGCAAGTCTTTTATGTTACCTGCACCACCATCACCTTCCGCGTATCGCCCTCCCCCTGTCCCATCCCACGAGTTTCTCGACGGATCGAGAACCCAGGACTCGATGCAACCATTACCGGTCCGCGATACTCCGATGATAAGCAAGAATAGGGAGCTGCGGAAAGCTACACAGGAGCGCAGGAGGAGTAGTATGGGTATGAGGGGCCGAAGAATCAGTAGCGGTCTAGGTGATGAGCCTTGTAAGTAAACAAACGCCAGTTAGATACTCATTTGCTGACTTCCCCAGCATTCCCGCATGCGAATCTCCCGCACGATATTTTCTACAAGCATATCCACTACGACCCGGAAGTTCCTCCTGCCGGACGAATGCGAACCCTTCTCCAATGGTGCACGTATCGAGCGGCCCAGCTAGAAACCACGCCAGCGGCCGATGTACAAACCATAAAGCGGGGAAAGAAAGCCGATGTCACTCTCACAGCTGATCTACCCACATTATCCCCTGATGCAGTGAAGCTGGTGAAAGACATTCAAGAGGACGTGTTTCGCATGATCGCCACCAATCAAGTTGATACCAGCACTTTTTCGGCACGGCCCGTTGGCCAAGGCGGGGAGAAGCTCAAGGTCAATGAGCAGAACGAGCGAAACAGAGAACGAGACGCAGCAGATCAAGCCTATTTCGAACAGTGCGTGAGATCCCATAGCGGCGCATACGATTCTGACTCTCTTTTAGATGCAAGCAGGAGGAGTTATCTTGGACATCTTTGATTCAGTCGTATAATACAATTCAAACGACCGTTCTCAAATCGATCCAGTCCCGCATGGCTGATCCGGCTTCTCAAAGCCCGCAAACACTCAACGTAGCTCAGTTGGGTGAGTCATCTCGCCCAGCAGCCCAAGCAGCAACAGCAGAGCTGGAAGAGAGTGGACAAGGGGAGACTGAATTAGAAGCGAAACTTGCCGCTTTACAACTAAAGGTACGTATTCAAGTCTAAGCACGCGTCCGGTCTAACCATGCAGTTAGGTCGACACATTACATCAATCTGCACACGTTCTTTCACAACTTGCGCATCGCGCCGAACGACACCTGTCGTCTCACCAGGTTACCCTTCGAAGTCGACATCAAGCGCGAAGTGCACCGTTACCGCCTCTCACAGCGCCGTCCACCCTCTCCTCAGCTAATCCGAATGCACCACTGTCAGGGTTGTTGTCCGCCGTGCGACCCGATAGACGCGACACAATGGCGGAGGGCCAAGACGATCCCCAACTTCTGCTGAAGGCACTGGCATCAAAGGATGTGGAACGCCAGCGAAAGGAAGAAGCTGGGGATGATGAAGCTGAACGTCGGAGGGAAGGAATGGCAGATCGGCGAGTCACGGCTGTTCCTCCCACGCCGAGGAGGCAACCTGGGACACCAGGTCGAAGAACCACGCCAGGCCGTTCAAGAGGTTGAGCGGTGGGGGGTGATGCGTCTCCGTACGATTGAGGTTGTTTCGGCCCATATATATACGTTCCATTCCTAGGACTGATATTTTTTTCTACTCCCCCTTGGGTGATTGTTGTTCTTACGATTGTAACACGCTTGTATTATTTGGACCAGTGCACTAATGTAATGCATGGCATCAAGTCATTAATACACAATAAAGCGGCGTGCAGGGCTTCTGCAACTCCCCTGCCTCAAACAGACAACCTTGTCAAATAAAAATATCATCAAACAACAATAAAATCAGTTCATAATCATTAAACAGTCAGTCACAAAGTCAAAAAACGCAGTCCATTCACAACGCAGTCCCAATCTCGAACAACCCCTCGCTCACCCCATGGCTCAAACTCGAGTACCTCATCGGACGCTGCACCTTCTCCCGTGGCAACCCCGCCCAGCACGCAGTAGGGATTACACCTTGTTCCCACCCTCCCCCGTGCTGTCCTTGGCCCGCCTGGCCATGGGTAGGACTATCCGGAGGGGATGGTAAGCGCTGTACCACACTCCACCCATCGTCAAAACATTCCAGGACGGCTACTTCCTCCCCCGCGCGTACGGGCAGCTCGTCAGGCAGGTCAGGGTAGAAACTGCACTGCACGTCCCGTTTGGTGATCTCGTCGAAGACGAAGCTGAGTCTTTGGCCGGCTTCTAGCTGGGGCTGGAGTTGCAGTTGCCGTTGCCGTGCGTCTTGCGTTTGCGTGTGTGCTTGTGCTGGTGGAGGAGGCTGGGGGAACCGGTACTGCTGTTGTTGCAGTATCACCGGCGGGATAGGCAGCGGCAGCACCTCCGTTGGCACCACCGGTGGGAGGGCGAATATCCTCGAGAACCTATGCATATGCGAGCGGTGCGCAACGGGGTCGAACTCCGGGGTCGGGCCTCTCACCACAGCTGAGGAGGAAGAGGAGTCGGTAGGTTTCTCCGGTGAGGGAGGGAGCGGAGTGGGCAGTGCGACCGGTTCGGGAGGGATAGAAGGCAGGGTAGGTCTTACTCTGTTTGCTTGTCTTCCCTCTCCCGAGGTAGGACTGCGTGGGCTCCTCGGCTTTCTCAGCTTATGCGGCTCCCGTTCCCCGTCCCATCCCCCTTCCGCCACGGGGGAAAGAGTGACAGCCTGTAAGTGCCCTTTAAATGAATGGTCTACGGTCAGCTTGGGACCGGCAAAGGAAGAGTCGAGCGAAGTGTTCCGGTTATGTGTCGGGATCGAGAGGGAAGAGTTGTTTCTCGTATGAGCGGTCAGAGGCTGTCAGTCAGGCGTGAGCAAGCACGCTCGCAGCAGGGAGAGAAGAGAGCAGGGCGCACCTGTTTGACTGAATCGTCACTTCTCGGACTGAGCGGTTTAGGCTGCGTCTTCCTCCAGTGTTTGTCCCACCAGGAAGGCTGCGGTGGCTGCATTCTTATAAGCCTACAAGTCATACAAGGCGGACTAAGACGCACGGGTAAGATTCTCCCCTCTGCTCTCGCCTTCCTCCTCTCCCTCTCCCTCTTGTTCCTCCTCCACTGCCTCACTCCAAGCACTAACAGCAATCCGACCAGCACGGCACCAGCGATGCCGAACCCGATGATCACGTCTGTCGTTATTGGGTCGGAGGGGGTGCCGGAGGGGTTGGACGCGGGAGGGTTGGGGGAGACGAAGGGGGAGGCTTCTTGTCGGTTTTGAAGGGGGAGGTACATCGAGTAGGATGAGGTGGTGGTGGTGGTGTTGAGGAGGGAGACGAGCAAAGAACGAAATAAGGGAAACGAGATGCTGGCAGAAACAGACAGCAAGAGCAAGAGCAGAGAGCACCTTTCAGGTAGAGAACGAAGGACTAAGTCAGGCTGAAACGAGATGCGTGTATTGCCAGTTCATGCCCAACTTCAAAGTCGCCGAAGAGAACAAGAGTACAAAGTAGAAGATAATTCGCATCCCCTCGCCTCCCCTGTCCTAGATGCCATTAATAACGGATACCGAATACCCCGTATGATATTGAGTCCCAACTGTATTTGCATTTGATATTTGCCAGCAAGTTCCGTTTCATCATGTGCTTTGACCAGTGCCACGACGCCGGATCGTCTCATCAGGGCATGAGGCAAGCATCAATAGCGACCAACAGCAGGAGCAGCAGGAGCAGTAGTAGTAAGAAGATAGAATGAAACTGTTTGTAGCCATAAAACACGTTTCTTAATTCGACTTCCCACTGGGAATTAACACTTCTAATCGTAGGATCATCGCCTGGATCGCCTTGTGTATCAGTAATAATGAAGTAACAGAAGTGTAATAGCCTCAAACTAGAAAAGCAAGAAACAGTACAGCTTCTAGGGTCACTCTAGTCGTGTGCTCCTCCTCCTCCTCCTCCTCCTTATGCCTCCCCCCACAAACCCACAACAATACCGTCTTCAAGCTATCCATCTGTATAAAGAAGTACGTCTATCGCATACCATACTGTTATAGTACGACCATCCCTCACTCAACATATCCAGCTTCATAGGCTAGGCAGGGAATACCCCGACCCGGCATACGGCTTCAACGCCCGCATCCGCAGGTGGTTCGACCGTCCGCCTCCCCCCCCCCTCAGGCAGGACCCGCACTGACCCATAGCCATAGGAAACCGAGGTCTGACAGAAGAAGAGGATATCAAGAAGGCCCTTGCTATGGGCGAGTATATACGGGACGAGACGGTGCGGGTACCTGCTGTCATGCCATGAGATGAGCGGGATATGCTCATGCGCTGCGTTATGGGCAGTTGGCGCTGTACAGTCTGAAGAAGTTTCGGCATTTGAGGAGGGCGTATCATGCGCATGAAGGACCGAGATGACCTTCATTTCCTTGTCAGCGGGAGAGGATGTGGATACGGGTTACGGTTGAGTCGATGTCGTGTTGATTGATTGCAAGCCAGTGTTGTACGAGTATGCGAAATGTATGCAATTCCCTTTCCATCCCCCATCCCTCGTCCTCCACAACATCCCCCTCCTCCCACACTCATCAAAGTTTCCTCACCTCCCCCCTCCCATATCCCATCCCACCCAAAACGCCCCCCACCTGACCCTCAGTCAAGTCCCTCGCCCTGGGCCCCGCGAACGCCTGCACCATCCCCTCCGGCCCGGAGACGAGGAACAACACTTTCCTGCTTGGGTCCTTGGCTGCTGGAGGGGAGACAGAGCGGAACCGGAAGCGAGAGAAGAATGTCTGCTGGGTTGGGGGGGAGAGGCCGAGTGCGAGCCATATGTCGTACGGCTGGATCCGGCGAACGGTGAGGGGGAGTGCTGCTCCTCCTACCAGGTGTTCCCTAGCTCCAGAAGGCGCAGAGTCGACAAACAACCTCAGCCTGAACTTGTCCGGCTGCGAGCGCTGCAGTTCCCCCAACGGACCTAGCATAGACGCCGGGGGGAGTTCCTCCGGTACAGGTGCAGCGTGTAACAGCGTAAACTTCGTCTTTCCACTTCCAGGTGGTGTAGGAGAACGGGGGTTGAGGAACAAGTGATCCATCAATTGGTAAAAAGGTATTATACCCGTTCCTCCCGAGATCTGTTCCTCAGCTTCCTAGTCTACACAAAAGGTTGTGTTGGAGAATAACGCACCATGATTACTTCGTCCCAATGTTGATCTTCCCACTGTACACCCGGTGACCAACCTCTTACACCTATTTCGTCCCCAACTTTCCGCCCAGCGAGGTATCGCGCCACCTCGCCCTCCCGTTTGACCCACAGCTCGACCTCATCCCCCTTCCCTTCTAAACCTCGGAGTGGCGTAAACTCCCTTTCGATCTGGAGGACAGGCGAGCGCACCCACAGCGCGTAGAACGGCCCTCCAGGCTTGGGCGGTCGGAGGAGCCGAAGGCGGAAGAGGGAGGTGTGTGGTGTTGGCTGTGTATGGGAGAGAAGGAGCGCAGGAGTGTACGTTTGCCCGAAAGAGGGTTTGGAGGGGGAGAGGTAGTAGCTTGAGATGCTGAGAGAGAGGAGGAGGGTGGTGCCTAGTACCAGGGGGGCTCGGCGGATCAGCCTCGAAGGGCCGGGCTTGGGGTGGGCGTTGGACATGGGACTGGGAATGGGACTGGGAAGGTTAGTGATACCGGGGAAAGATAGACATGGACGTTGAGGAGACAGCTGTGGTGGAGGGAGCGGACGGGGGGACATCATCGTCGTCGATGACCACACGACCAGTCCGCCAGGGAATCTGCAGTCAATGAGTGCACAATTCTTTTCCACATTTAGAAACAAATACATTTTCTCACTCAACTCACCAGTGCACAAGTGCAGCTCGGACAACCTCGTACGGAAGGGGTATCTACTTCTAGCCAAGGGGCAACTCCTTGAATGAAATTATGAGAGTTGAATCTTGCCCTTGTTTCTTGGGTTTTGTTGAATCACTTTACTATGTACACAAAATTCCCACATTGGGGAGGTCTAAAATTGTATTGAATGACCACAAGAGATACGAACTTCTGATGTGGCCAGCCCGGAGTTTGTTGACTTCAGGAACACCAGTCTAGAGAAAGACGCCTCCAGGACCCACACTGACTATGTACCACTGGCATGAGCAACAGTTCCTGTAGAGATCCGACGCACAACGAGCTCAGCACAAGTGACAGGAAATGATCGTTCATACGCGGAAAAGGATCACGTATGTCATTTATCAACCGAAGCACTCATCAGCAATCTCAGATATCGGAAGACAGGCCAGGGGCACAGTTCCAATCAACTTATAATACAGTACATGCACGCTCCAAACACCCCAACAACGTCTAACAGAATGGTGATGATATCAATAGCGAGTCCGCCTCTCCCTCGCAGGTCTAAGGCCGACGACTTCTGCCTCCCTAGTCACTCGCCCGCTCACGTCTATCGTTTCCCCTAGCACGGTACCCCCCGGCCGACCGGCCGCACGCGGGGCTTGATAGTTTCGCCAATCGCTGCAGAGCCAGACTGGGCATTCAGCCTGGAACACCCCACGGGGGGAGATGTGTGTATAGTCCGGGGGAGTAAACGTTACTACGATGAGGTACTGCAAGAGCTCAGCTTGATGAAACGTTTGAGGAGTGACAAGGAAGCACCTCAATCGCCACGCCGTTGAAGCGGAAGCTCGGTTTCATCATTCTCCCCGTAGGGAGCTGGATCCGACCTTCCATCCTCACGACCTTCGCACTGCCAGCGCCGACATTATCATTCTCTGACACCGATGTGGCAGAAGATGAGCCAGCCGAGGTACGTCTCTGCCGAATATCAGGCCGCCTCTCTGCCTGCGGCTGCTTGGCCTTCGGCCGCGGCAGTTCCCGGATCACGGGCGATGAAAAGTCCACGTCTTCCTCCAGTGAAGGGGTTGATGTCGACTCACGGCCCGTGGAAGGGTCACCCTCGCGCCACAGGTCACCCTGGAACAACGGATACAGTGACCGGTCGTGGTTACTATACGAGGCATCCAGGACTCCGTCGCCGACGATGACGGTGCGGGCTAGTTCCGCTCTGACAAAGTATCGCGTTGTGATGACATCCACGAACTCTGGGCTGGAGGAACTGAGCATCAGCTTGAAAGGTATGGCGTCTCCCGGGCCAAACGTAGCCGGGTGCTGTATGCCTACCTGCATCATGGGATCAGTAGTTCCTTCAGTGAGGATGGAAACAACTTGCCAATCCATCGACTTCGACAATCTCGTTGCGGAAGCGGCCTCGAGCTCCAAATGGAGTAAACTCCCAGCCGCTGATGATTTCACGCGTAAATGGCCATTCATCTGGTGTCGGCATGAACGGGAAAGGAATTGTAGGCCGAGGTGACGTTGGTCGGCTGCGTGGAAGAATACGCAGCGGAATGGCTAGCCTGAACCAACGTTAGGGGAGCGACGTTGCAGTCAGGCACGCTTGCCTTTCTTTGGTACGGTCAGTGTCCACGAGCACTGTATAGCCAACTTCCACGCCGAACCCGGTGAGCTTAGAGAGCATGCTCGCTGTGGAGGCAACACAATCAATACGGCACGGTCTCGTGCCACAATTTACTCACGTGGAAGCGGGACACGCGCCCAACCCTCCCCAACACCGCATAAACACATCGTCGCAACGACTCGATAAGGAGACTGGCTCTACCTTTCCGCTGGCGGCCTGGGCAAGTTCGGAGAAGACAGCCACGTCGGGTGGGAGCTGGAACGTGATCGGCTATACTCGCATTCCATAGATGAGTTCCTTGCGAATAGGCGAAGAAGTGACAGGAAAGAACTGACCCATACATGCGTTCCTTTCAGTCTCAACTTGCGGGAGAACAGTGATTGCGGCTTTCCATGCGGTGGCCACACACATGCTTGCTGCGAGAGAATCTGGGGCCGGTGTGCACCGCGTTCGTACACTGTGCCTTGCAGCTGCATAAATCAGTCAGCTGCAGAATGTGCGGAAATACATTCCGCACCCAGACTGAGACTTCGCTGAGTGATTCTAGACGGTCGAAATGTATGCGCAGCTCTCCACGTATCTGCTCGTTCTCGTAGTACAGCGGCACGGCAGCTCGCGCCCCAGCGTGACTCCACAGGACAAGAGATATCCAAGGCTTCCCATGTCTGTCCTTCAAGCACTTTGCGTGCGCCGTGCCATCAAACCCATACTCGTCTGGTGGAAGGCTGTCTACCCCCTCCAACATACGCGCAGCAAGCGGGTCACGGACATAAAATACCGGAACACCCAATTGCGACACAGGCGGTCTCCTGCGCTTCTTCTTCTTCCCATTCGCAGAAAAAGCAGATGCCAGTGTCAAGCCAACAGAGTGAAGTGACCGCTGAGTAGTCGATTTTGCCGACTCGCGGGACTGGCTGGCAGAGCGCGCCCCGCGAGCAGATGACTCGATTCCCCGGCTGCCAGTGCTGCTTCCCGATGCTGTCTGGGCTCGGGCCCTGAGCGCGTCGCGGAGAAAGACGGACATTGGCGCCGCGCAGATGGCAGCGTGTGCCCATTCAGTGGGTGCAGATAGAGTGATGATAAGGCTGCCCCTTTATACGACTTGGCAGGACATAGACACAGGTGTCGCGCAAGCAAGATGGATCGTCACGCTGCACTGCGGTGCGCCCGAGCCCGGAAGCACGCGGGGCGAAGCAGTGGGGGTCGTGCTGTCAGAATTGTAAATCAAGCGGACCAGTCCACGCGGTCACGAACACTAGTAACAGCCGTGTCTCGATCGGGATAAGACGACGACGGTGCTCGACTTGCACGACTAGGCGGTCCTGGCGTCTTCCAGCCTCGGTGCTTCTACTCCGTTGCACGAAAGGTAGGAAACAGTGCCAGAGGTGGAGAGACCATATGTCTGTGGCGCCGGCGCACGTGGCAGATAGGAAGAACTCTATGACTCCGGTGTTGCCTTGAGGAGATGAGAGGAAGATGCAAACCGGAATCGGGGAACCGACGGCATGCGCGACGGGGATACCGGCCTACTCCCTGACTGCCCAATATTAATACCAATTACAGTCAGCCCGACATAAGTCTGCGTTCATACAAGCTGACGCACTTCCCCGTTGTTGTTGAGTCGATCGGAAGATGGAGGCGAAGAGTTCCAGACAGTGATGAATATTCTCACTGCATGGTCAAGTCGGCCGAAGAGAAGAAGCCGCGGAGCACATGGTGGTCGAATTCGAGAAGCCCTCCGTTCCTCGAGGTACACACGTTCATGTAAGAAGCTGGAATAACGAATTATGAGCACTAGCGCGCGGCTTCATAGACTTGCGGACCGAAATGGCAAGCGTACCTTCGGAAAAGTGGTCAAGTGCAGGTATATAAGATGCAGGGTATTGGTTGGTTTTTCTTCTCCCTGCCAGCGTATTCCCCACAACGGGAAAGTTATATCTGATAAAGCATATCTCTGGGGTAGATCCTAGATCCATGGGGCAGGTCCAAGCAGGGAATGAGCAGTGGGAAAGGAGGACTGATGACTCGAGAAGAGGCCAAATTCGGTGGTCGACTCCGCGCGCAGTCAACAGGTTGGTGAACGACAAGTGCCGATTGGGCCCTGCACAACGACGACAGCGGCCCTCTCGCCGTCGAGGACAGCAATTTTGTTACCCGTCGCTGTGCATGTTCGCATTGATGATTGAGCTGTGAATAATCAGCGACGTATATAAGGCCGCGGTGGTTCGGACTTGAAGAGTAACACGACTTGACACTCTCACAAGCGCTCCTTTCACGCGCGTCTCTTTCTTTTCACTCTCGACTTGCCTTCCTCCTTGTCACAGTCAAAGTCCCTGCAATCCCATGGCATCCGCACTCTCATCCTGGCTATGGGGTTCGTCAGCAACCACGAAGCACGAAGCTAATGGCAGCACGAAGGAGAATGGCAACGGGCACGCTCTCAAGCCCGAAGAGAAACAAGCCGACGTCGACATCCCCAAGATCGCCATCTCCGCGCCAGAGGACTCACCGGTTGTTGCACCCAAGGACGACGGGTTATCCCTTCCCGTAGGGGTGAAGGAAGCGAGCACGTTTACAAGTGACGGTGTCTTCCCCGCTGTCGATAGTCCTCAGCGAGTGTCAGTGCCCAGCACAGCAAGCACGATCACAACCAACTCGAGCGCCGTCCCTCCAGCGCCAACAATCTCTATCTCCGTCTCCCCCAGCTCTCCCACATCTCCGACAGTGGACAGGAGCATGCCCCCACCTCCTGTACCCACGAACGGCGGGCTACGAGCAGCTGTGAAGGCGCAGAAGAAGGCGATCAAGCGCCAGCTGAGGGAGGCACTTGCACCTGGGCACAGTCAGATGGATTGGGCGATCTTGAAGACCAAGGGGCTGAATCTCCGAGTGCGTACATTCCCCACTGTGTATCTCTATCCATCCCTGCTCCCTACTCTCTTCTTGCACGCACGCAATGCTCCCTCCCCTCATGGCGCACCACTGACGCTTCACAGGGGACAGAGAACATCCTCCGCGTCACGCCCTCCACGCTCGCGGCACACACCACGAAAGAAGACGCCTGGTCCTGCTTCTTCGGCAAAGTATACAACCTCACGCCCTACTTCTCCTACCACCCTGGAGGTGAGCGAAAGCTCTTACGTGTGGCGGGGAAAGACGGTACGAGGCTCTTTGGTATGTTTTTCGGTCTTGTTTGGGGGTATGAGCGCTGATTCGGGGTGTTGGGCAGTGCATAGTCATGAATGGATCAACGTGGAGGCCATGATGGACGAGTGTTTTGTAGGGTACTTAGTGCCTGAACCTGAGCGTGCAGAGCCGGAGGACGACTAGAAGGTTTGAGGCTTGGAGGCTTGGGGGAACCAAGGAGTTGTATGTATTCTTAGGATTTCGTCGGGCTGGGCAACTGGGATTAGGCTGGGATGAGGATGAATATAGGGATTAAGAGGTTAGACTGTAACACTACGGCACAAGAGAAGTCGAGGGCGATTCATTTCATACCCCTTTTGGCGTCTTCCCACACCGTGCTTCACACCGACGTCGCTGTTTGATTCCTACATTGTAAGATATTACATTATGGTACCGTCACGAAGAAAGAAAGAAAGAAAGGTCGAGAACATCCGATCTACACTCTACAACACAGTGCCCGAGCATTCCATTCGCTCCATCCCGGTCAAGCAAACACCTTCCTCACCGCCTCCTTCTGACTTGCGGTCAACCGGTCTGGGAAGACGATTTCCCACTTGACGATCAAGTCCCCTTTTGACTTTGCTCCTTGTTTGCGTATGGGCATCCCCTCGCCAGAGACTTTGGTCTCCGAGCCAGGCTTTATCACGCCACTCGGTGCTGGGATCGTGATCATCCGGCCATCCAGTTGCCGTACGGTCTTGTTCCCGCTTATCCCACAGAGTGCGTCCACGAGCGGAATTTCGAGCTTGACGACCAAGTTGTCCCCCTCCCTTGTGAAAACATCGTGTGCCTTCTCCTCAACGACGAACACCACATCCTGCGCCTCCCCATCTTCTCTCTCATTCCCTGCACGTGCGAAGCGAACTTTCGTTCCCCCCTTATACCCCGGCAAGACGGCGACCTCGAGGATCTTCTCTTCCGTGCCGCCCGAAAGCAGCTTGCGCGAGACTTTGAGCTTCTTTTTCGTGCCGGTGTAGAGTTCTTCCAAGCTGACTTTGAGCGGTTTGACATAGTCCGAAGGAGGTTGACGGGGCATGTCGAATCCCGGGGTGCTGGTCGACGAACGTCCTTGACGAGAGCGCGGCATACCGCCCATGCCGCCGAACATGCTGGCGAGCGGGTGTGCGCCCGGATGGCCACCGGAGTCCATGTCGATGTCGTCGTGCGCAAAGTGCATTCCCCTGCCATTTCCCATGCCTCCTACACCACCCAAACCAGAAGAGGCAAAGAACTGCTCGAAGATGCTGTTCGGGTCTCCGGGTTGGTACCTCCCGCCCGGACCACCCGAGGAAGACGAAAACGTCCCACCGCCTCCCGGGAACCCTCCAGAGGAGAACCCACCGGGGAATCCGCCGCCAAACGAAGCCCCCGAGCCACCCGGAGGAGGAGGACCTCCGCCTTTCAACCCTTCCTCCCCGAACTGGTCGTATATTGCCCGTTTGTTCTTATCGCTCAGGACCTCGAAGGCTTCGCTGATCTCTTTGAACTTCTCTGAAGCTTTTTCCTGCTTGTCTTTGTTCCTGTCTGGATGCCATTTGAGTGCCTAGAAAGGGTTAGTGAATGCTCACGTGCGAATAAAAGAGTGCGACTCACCATTTTACGATATGCTTTTTTGATGTCGTCGTCGTTGGCGTCCTTTGAGACGCCTAGGAGAGCGTAGTAGTCTTTTCCCATTGTTGGGTATATGCTAGTTGATGGTGGTGAAATAGACGGGGGGAGGTGTACAAATGGGCTCGATGAACTGTCCAAGTGTGCGTTGTATGTAGTCACTTGAACACAAAGAGCGGGTTCTATTCTTCGGTGGCGCATTCTCGCATGTTGTAGAAACACACGAGGTGGCTGTGCAATCGGCAGCAATTCGGCGCACGTGTTGCCATATTTGGGCGCTGGGGCAGGCAGCCATCATAACTTTGGCTCAGACTTTCCTCTGTAAAGAGCAACGTAGGATGGACGCGACGGAGACCACCCCGCTCATCAGCAACGGCCACGCAGAGTCTGGTCGACAGAGGCAGTCGTCTGGCGTACTCCAGCTCGCAAGGGCAACGCTGCAAGATGTCTCTGAGCGCACCATTCGCCTCGCACGGTCCATGCACGAACTCGCCAGCTACAGGCCACTACATGTCCACAGCACTGGCAAGGGACCTAAGCGTGCGTCTCTCGTCCCCTTAATCTATTTAAGCGTCACTTATTCGGTACCCGGACAGTGAAAATCGAGCCCAAAGTGTGGTTCGCCAACGAGCGCACCTGGATATCCTACCTCAACAACTCCATCCTCCTCGGCACGCTCTCCATCGCACTGTACAACGCCGCGGACAAAACCGACACAGTAGCGCGCGGGTTTGCATACGTGTATGCAGCCATTAGCCTGCTGATACTCGTCTATGGGTTTGGGCTGTATCAGTGGAGGATCACCTTGATTAAGAGGAAGGATGCTGGGCATTTTAGTGCGTTCGTCTGCAAGCGTGGCGACTATCGCTCATTCTTGTAGTTTCCCTCATTGGACCACTGACGATCTCCGTCACCCTCTTCTCTGCCGTCCTTGTCAACTTTATCGTTCGTGGTGCGTCCCTCCGTCCCCCACTCATTCAACTGCTAATCCCCTCGCAGTACATCAAATCCGCAAAGATCGGCCGTGATATCAACTCAATCATGGACAGTTGTAGTACAAAAACGTTGTATAGATATGTTATCTATCAGAGGTGAGATCCAGTGGTGCCTCATGTTCCGAATGCACTCCAGTGAATAAAATGTTGAACTGCTGCCCCTTCCAAATACCCATCCGCGAAGGAGCGTTGGGTCGTGCTCTGTTATCTGAAAAAGGAAGTTTCACTGGCTTCCGTCGAGTCACGTGCCTGCCGGCACCTGTCAACACCTATCGTTCCCCTTCGACGGGTTTCCTTCTACCTATGTCCATCAATTCTGAATCTCTGACCCCCAACGTCTGCCCCTCATCTCAGAACACTCAATGAACCGAGTATGGAAAATTCCCGAGCTGGTGGATACGATTGCTATCCATCTGGATCTTTCCTCACTCACCTCTGTGGCTCGTACGAATCGACTCTTGTGGAACGTATCAATCGCTTTGCTTTGGGAGACAATCACAACAGACGCACTTGCATGTTTGATACGCGCGCTAGAGGTACTCCCTCCATTACAAGTCTGAGCGAGAGCTAATATGAAGCACTAGCTGGAGAGACAATATTCCGTTCAATATTCTCCGACCGCCTTGGACCGCTTCGCCCACCACGCACAGTACGTGCGATCGCTATGTATACCCCATGGCATACGTCCCACTGTCCGGAGGACCTTGCAACGCATCCTCGATCAGGCCGGAAAGGGGAACCTAAGGGTTTGGTTTCGAATCGCAAGTATCCAAGTTCCCGAAGGGGAGGAGAGCAACGGGCTGTACCCTTACTGGATCGACGCCCAGGCGGAGCTTTTCCGAGCTTGTCTCTCCCCGAGCGTGAGACAAGTCATCATCTCCATTGGTACCAACGCGCTCCGATATTTGAATTACTTGACAACACTGCTCGAAGGTATCATCGGAAGATGTCCCGCTGTCGATTTGTTACAAGCTCAGCGGCAGTTCATTGGTAGTGGTGTACAGAGGCTGTCTGTGGAATTCAAAGACGCGCTCCTACGTATCAGCGCGAAGGGATACCTCCGCTCAGTTCGAACGTTTGTGATGGACCTGTGGGCACTGGCCCCGGAAGTTCTGCAAGCACTCGCACGACTCCATCAGCTCGAGGCACTTCACATTAAGGTTGTTCCCGGCAATATTCTGTTCAAAGAGAACATATACCTCCGGATTTTGCGCGACCTCTCTACCGACTCGTTTCGTGCAATGAGTGATGACGCCTTTCCGGCTAACTCCTTCCTTGCTTTACGCACCCTGGATGTTGACCTACCGAGCAACATTTTAAAGCGACTTCTATCCGTCACGCCTGGTATCGGTACCTTACGCGTCTGTTTCCCTCGCTGTGAAGGCTCGCTTTCTCTGCAAGCTATATCTCCTCCGTTGCGCCTACAGTCTCTCTCCCTTAACTTCGCCAACTTGCATTACGCGCTCACAGAGAACCCCGACTCACTCCTTTTACCGTTTGCAGTGTGTAAGGAGATTCGTTATCTCTCCTTGGATCTCCCTTTTGTACATGCCTTCTGGGACAAGGATCTTGAGAGGATTGGCGTGATGTGGCCATGTCTCCAACGTCTCCGTTTGACTGGCCTTTGCGCTCCAATCACTGTTTCGTACACGGTACGAGGTATCCACTCCCTCTTACGGCGGTGTCCAGATTTGGACGACTTGGATCTATATATGCCAATTGCACAAGAGGTGATCTCTCAAATGAGCGACGAGATTGTCGTGCTACGGCCGCTCATTATTCGACCGCTCGGCAGTCTGACGGATACAGACGAACGCACAGCGGTTTCTTCCTCAGCGGCTCGTTTATATGTCCTGTGTCCCAACGTACGCATTTTGCCGGACCGGGTGAGTGATTGGGAAGGGGTTATGGAGCACCTGCAGCTGCTGCAGCTAGGGGTTTGAGCGATTGCTTTAGAGGGATCCATATTTATAAACTACCAGGTCGCAGACCCGATGATCGATCATGTCAAGTTCAATGTGACGTGCTGACAGCGATGTTATGAACTCCATTAACTAGAAAAGGATTTGTGTGATGCCTGACACATAATATTAGTTTGTCAATTCTTCATGATAAGAGCATGTGTGCAACGACCGACGAAGCCGGGGTTCTCAGTCATTCATCTCTCCTCGTGACGCGCTCTGAGTTCTGCCATCGCTTCGCTGTCTCCTCATCATCCTTCAGGCACAACCGGTTCCTACATCTGAATTACCTCGAAATGTAGACCCCTCACCATTAGTTCACTGCCTATTGAGTTTGCCAAGAGCTGGACTACCCACATACCCACGAGCACTATGCCTGCCCCGCCCGAGGATCTCCCTGTAACACAACGGCATAGCATCTACCCCGGTATTGAGCCGGAGCTATTTGTTGGTTCGCTCCAGGGAAAAGTAGGCAGCTTATTTGCCATGCCGAGTTGGTGACTGATGAATTACTGAAGGTCGTGTTCATCACCGGCGCCTCTCGTGGTATCGGCGAAGCAACCGCGATAGCCTTTGCCAAATCTGGTGCTGCTTTGTTCCTCGCTTCCCGCAAGCAGGAGACTCTCGATATCGTCAAAGCGGACATTTTAGATCTTGTTCCTGGAGTGAGAATCGAGACACACGTCACAGATGTCACCGAACATGAGAGCGTCAAGGAGGCCGTACAGGCGTGTGTCAGGGAGTTTGGGAAAATTGATGTAGTAATAAGCAACTCGGGGGCGAGCGAAGACTTTGCCCAAAGTGAGCAGGTATTTCCCCTTGCTGTATGAGCTCAGAGGCTGACACATGTTCTAGCTATTGCGCAGCAAGATCCTGAGGTTTGGTGGTGGACTTGGGAGGTGAACGTTAAAGGATCGTTCAATGTCGCCCAGTACGCGCGCGTATTATAATCTATGATGTGATGGCTAATGACTGCGTTGGCAGTTATACACTCTCGGAACTTACCAAGACACGAGGATACTTTGTCTTTGTTTCCTCCATTGGAGCACAGAGTAAGTCGACAGGCAATGCCTAACGCACCTCGCCTAACGCACCATGCAGTTCAATTTCCCGGTGCATCATCTTATCAAAGTAGTAAACATGCCATCAACCGGATCGCCGAATTCGCAGCCATGGGTGTGTGCCAGTTCCTTAATCCGCGAATGCAGCATTGAAAGGTGATATCTGGCTCAGAGACCGCCACCGATGATGTAAAGGTGTTCGCTATCCACCCTGGAGGTGTCAAGACCGAGCTGTCCAAGAGTGTTGGTGAAGTGTTGGAGAAGTTTCTCACAGATGACATCCAGTTACCCGCTTGGACGATGGTTCGGCTCGTGGTGAGTAGTACAACAAATATCTGTCTCAACAATGGTCTAATTGGTCATCACAGCAAGGGAAAGATGACTATTTATCGGGCCGATATGTCTCCGTCAATTGGGACCTTGACGAGGTGCACGACCAGTGGAAGGACACTATTATCAACGATGATGCTCTGAAGAATCGGTTGGCATTACCCTCAGTTATATATCAGGCATGAATAACAGAGCTCAGTGCACTACTCAAACGATATACGCGCTTGCATGGAGCGAAATTGCACATAACCTTATTTGATAACTTGAAGTTTTTGTTTCGTGGACTGCCATCCATGGGTCTTGCACTCAATCGGCCCTACGAATCAAGTCATCATCACCTGGCATAGGGAATCTGCTCCGTCGAGTCCCACGCGTCCACGAATAACCCCAATTAGACCCTGAGCCATTGGACAATGCAGGGGGCGCGATATGACGTCCGTTCTGATGCGCGTGTTTGTCCGGATTCGAATGAGAACGATGAGCCACAAGTAAATAGATCGGCAATCCTTCATTCACTTCCACTTCCCACGACGGAAGGTGGCGGAACATCTTGCTGCTGACCAAGGCATCGTGTTCCTCAAGAAGTCGACAGCTTACTAAGTGCGTACCCAGGCCATGGCACGTATATATAAGAGTGTGCTGTCCAGATGCGATCGAGTCCTCGACCCTCCGAAGAGCAACTGAACAAGATGTCCAAGATAGATGAATCCAAGTTCCACGACATTGGTCAAAACCTTCCGGTTACCCACCATCATAATATCTATCCAGGAATAGAGCCAACCAAGTTCCAAGGATCCATGAATGGAAAGGTATGCTAACTCCACCCATAAGCGAGAGGTGGGCTTATGTCTGTGGGTGGTCTTCATCACTGGCGCGTCGAGAGGGATTGGAGAAAGCACGGCCCACGCTTTTGCCAAGTCTGGGGCACTTCTCTTCCTGGCTTCTCGCAGACTCGAGACGTTGGAAGCTGTGAAGAAGGAGATTCAGAAGGACCTTCCTAGTGCGAAAGTGGCTTACCATGTCACCGATGTCGTCAAGCCGGATGATGTCAAGAGAGCAGTTGAAGCGTGTATTCAGACGTTTGGACAGCTTGACATCGTGATCAGCAATTCCGGTGTGTCAGAGGGATTCATAGGTAAGTCATTCTTGTCGTCATTCATGTCGACATACTAATCTTGATGCTAGGCATGACGGACATTGATCCGGAGAAGTGGTGGTATACGTGGGTATGTAATAATGTCTCCCTGTCCAATAGAAACAAGCTAAGTGGAGAAACAGGACGTGAATGTCAAGGGCACCTTCAATGTTGCTCAGTATGTATCGAAATAAATCTGTCACCCAAAGCAACTCACTTCGCAGCTATACCATTCCCCATCTGTCAAAATCCGGAGGACGTCTGATTTTCGTCTCAAGCATCGGAGCTCAATGTAAGTGTGCCGCATGAGAGCGGGACTCGTACATGTTCATGATGCCGCAGTTTTGACACCGGGGCTTTCGGGATACCAAAGGTATCGCATTCCCTCAGTTGGAGGCACGATGAAGCTAAACAGCACTTGCATAGCACGAAGCACGCTTTAAATCGTGTTGTCGAATTTATTGTCGCCGGTACGTCCAGCATGCCCAGGAAATCCACATCGTCTGACCCAGGATTATCAGAACATCCTGAGATCGTGGCTTTCTCCATTCATCCAGGTGGAGTGAATACTGCGATGGCTGATACAGTTGGTGCGGAGATCCGCAAGTATCTGATCGACGACGTCCAGCTGTCTGCGTGGACGATGGTCCGTCTTGCCGTAAGTATTGCAGGATCTCACACGACGAATTGACGCGATAACGATTCGGTCCTTTAGAGCGGCAAAGATGATTACTTGTCAGGAAGATATGTCTCCGCCAATTGGGATCTGGATGAGGTAACTACCAAGTGGAAAGCAGGCATCGTGGGGGACGATGCGCTGAAGAACAGACTGTTGTTGCCGAGGGGAGAGTAGAGAACTTCAGGCCATTGAGTGTGAGAAATGAATAGGTGTATTCCTTTGTTGATGTATCCAGACGAGCGCCCGAATTGAGGGTGATGGTTGTGGAGAACAAAGTGTATTGATCCCTGGACAACGTAGTTGGACAGGTCTTCCCCCGTTCGTTGCTTCCGCTTTGTCAAAAGCGGTAATTGCGTCCGCTTGGTGTGTGCTAGTGGCTTGGTTGGGTAGCGCATGTCAGGTGGTCTCATTGCTGTGGTATTGTCTTCACTGTTCTTCCACCATACCGCAGGCAGTGCTCCCTCTGTTTCTCCCTTGCTGTGCATTGAAAATGCTTTATATACTCTTGAAATTCATGTTCTTCGTGGGTCTGTGCCCTATGTCCAGTCTTGTGCCACTTCAAATGCCAGTTGGTTGGCTTGACCTTGGTCAAGGATTTGTTTCATTTTCCTCCTCCTGTTTTCCCCTTGGCAATCTCTCCCTCTGGTATCATTTTGCTGGAGTGTCCATAGTGTTGCCCTCTTTTTCTCTTGCCAATGGGTCCATTTGTGTTTGGAGCACAGTATCTGCTGTCTTCACAGTATTCACGTGGTTCACTAAGCAGCTGTTAGGGCAACACAGGCTGACTAAGTCTGCTCACCTAAGAGTGCCAAGAGTCTAA